ACCAGCTGGAGACCTATGTATGGAGACTTGTACACGTAGACCTGACCGAGTTATTTCAGTTGTCTCCGCCAAACGATTATCTCGACACCATACATCTGAACATTTGACTGAATGTATATTGTAAACATTCATAGAAACACATAAACACGTAGTTTCAATCAATTCCATGTAAACAAAAGTCCCGTTCTTCAAGCGAACCTGAATTCAAACACAAGATCCTTGGATTCCGACACGAAGTGCAGCACCTTAGACAACTTGAGCTCCCGTGCCCCCTCTGCATATTAATGGTTATAATTAACTATTGCGAATCATAAAAATGGATTTAGCAGATACATGTTTTGTACCTATTTGAATCAAATGTGCTGGGACTGTCAGCTAGCCCGACCCAGATCGCCTTTAAGTCTATCACGCTCACTGCTGGGACTCAGATTGCGGAGGTTTGAATAATTGATAACCCATAAAGGAAGACAAGCGATAAAAAAGATTTGTCTTTGTAAATGAGATTTACATTAATGATGTGCACAGTGGATCTCAAACTAAACTGAGCAAACGCTTATATGCATGCACGGCGATATTACCCCTTTGCACCCTGCTGTGACAAAACAATTAAAAAAATAAAATGAATATTTGGTGTGGTAAGTGTATTTTGTTGGAGGTGGTTCCATGGTTAACTGTTTCGAATTATCATTTACCAAACCATGATTTCTAGAGAAAATGGTTTTGGATGGCGTTTGCATTCAAACTGTTATTAGATTGAATGTATTAATAAAGACAAAAGGCAAATCCATGTATTTACGTCGGTACAATTTTTACTGCTAATCTGACAGGAAATGTGTTCTTTTAATTAAAACAGCCAGAAGCCATTTTCATATTGAATACAAAGATACACATGTTCATAAAGTTTCAAAATCAAGATTGTTTTCATTTGTAATTCTTGCGGTTGCAAGGTTGAAAGCCCATTTCTCATGTCCCCAGCCGTGATATTCCTGGGATATTGCGAAAGGCGGTGTAAAATTTGAAATCGCAGCGATAGTTCTGTTACCATCGACCGAGGACCATTACACTGTGAAATGTAATATGAATATTTTTACACAAAAGACTTTGTAACATAGACTGCTCTTATTTCTTTATGTACTTGTCTGTGAATGTATACCATCATGTATCTATGGTGAAGTTGGGGAGCAGTACACAGTATATAACCCCCCTCCCAACCCCCAACCCTGGCTGTGCTAGTATACCATCGTGAATCTATGGTGAAGTTGGGGAGCAGTACACAGTATATACCCCCCTCCCAACCCCCAACCCTGGCTGTGCTAGTATACCATCATGTATCTATGGTGAAGTTGGGGAGCAGCACACAGTATATAACCCCCCTCCCAACCCCCAACCCTGGCTATGCTAGTATACCATCGTGAATCTATTGTGAAGTTGGGGAGCAGCACACAGTATATACCCCCCTCCCAATCCCCAACCCTGGCTATGCAAGTATGCCATCGTGTATCTATTGTGAAGTTGGGGAGCAGTACACAGTATATACCCCCCTCCCAACCCCCAACCCTGGCTGTGCTAGTATGCCATCGTGTATCTATGGTGAAGTTGGGTAGCAGTACACAGCATATACCCCCCTCCCAACCCCCAACCCTGGCTATGCTAGTATACCATCGTGAATCTATGGTGAAGTTGGGGAGCAGCACACAGTATATACCCCCCTCCCAACCCCCAACCCTGGCTGTGCTAGTATGCCATCGTGTATCTATGGTGAAGTTGGGGAGCAGTACACAGTATATATCCCCCTCCCAACCCCCAACCCTGGCTGTGCTAGTATGCCATCGTGTATCTATGGTGAAGTTGGGGAGCAGTACACAGCATATACCCCCCTCCCAACCCCCAACCCTGGCTGTGCTAGTATGCCATCGTGTATCTATGGTGAAGTTTGGGAGCAGTACACAGTATATACCGCCCTCCCAACCCCCAACCCTGGCTGTGCTAGTATGCCATCGTCTATCTATGGTGAAGATGGGGAGCAGTACACAGCATATACCCCCCCCCCCCCCCACCCCCCACCCCCACCCCCCAACCCCCAACCCCGACTGTGCTAGTATACCATCGTGCCTCTATGGTGAAGTTGGGGAGCAGTACACAGGTCCCTGTGCTGAGGTTCGATTCTGACACCCGCCCTATTTGTACAACACAAACCCGTGTATTTCCAACCCAGAATAGGGCTACCGTGGGATTCAAGATAGTTACACTATATGACATGGTTGAATTTGTGTCATCTTAGCATTACGGCGTGGATCGGTGCTCATGAAATCAGTCACTGGTTTGAATATTTTCAGGCTAACATATGCCTTTTATATTGCGACAACTACTACTTCACTTACATGTTTGCTTAGCGTTATATTCGTTTTGAGAAATAGTCATATTTATTAATCCGTTCCTTTAGTCTTCCAAAAAAAAGTGTTTTTGTGATAACCAAAAGAATTTAACATAACGCACACTTTTTCACTTCATACCATCCTCAGTTTTCGACAAGAATGACTGAATTTACCAAACCAATCTCGATTGATTAACTGAAACATACGAAATGAAAACTACGATAGCATTTTGGAAAAAAAATTAGATGAAGATTATAATTTACCCCGGAGCTCCTTTGATGTGAATTAAGGAGATGTTTGATAAACATCTAGCGTAGTTAGTGTTTCGGGTTGAGAATCTCAACCCTTAGTCTTATGTACTCCGAGTGGAATAGTGTTTATAGTTGGCATTATATAGGAGAGTGAAGTTCTTCCTCCAGGCTGATTTGAATAGAAGTGGATATGTTAAAGGGGAAGTGTACACGCAAAAATCACTTTCTTTCTTTTTCTAAACAAAACGCAATTTTAGAATTAGTTAGTATCTGTGTTTGAAAATATACACTCATTTTTTTCACAGTGAAAGTAGGAAGCTCACAATAGTGTTAAAATGATATGCCGTTATGAAGCCTTCGTTTTACGAGCGAAATAGGCCTGAGTTATCCCCCTTAGATTATGACGTAATTGGTGCCAATTCAACTGGGTCCCTGTCTATTCTCAACGCAAAAGATATCAAGGACCAGTTTGCGGTAAAACAACATGGTCTACGACACACTCGGCGCAGTGGTGACTCAGCATAACACAATTCTGGCTGGCATCTGAGACGCTAGAATCACAAAACTGTACCTACACCACGTGAAGCGGCTCTAACAAAGCATGATGACGTCATAATGTTTATCAATTGGCACCAATGACGTCATATTGCAAGGGGCATAAGCCATGGTGTTTTTGTTATGGAAATAGAACACTTGGTAAATGTGAAAAATATAAATCGTTTTAATGCAAAAAATATGTTAATTAAATTTGATGTTTTTATATTTTTGTCTATGACACTTCTATGTTAACACTTTTAATGTGGAAAAAGTACAAGAAAAATTGGTTCATTTCCGTGTGAACTTGCCCTTTAAGCGTTTGCCCTGTGATGATAGAACACGCACACATGCAATCTTTGAGTAGGTAAACAAGTCGTGCGAAGGGCTCCGATTTAATATATGTGTGAAGGCTGAAATATTAATACGAGGAGGAAGAAACACGCTTCATTTGTACTTTACAAACCATCGTTAGCGGCTTCTGTACAATCAATATACAGAGTCGTATCTCTACATGTATTATAAACTATTTACACGGTGGGCGATTCGAAAACAGAGCTTGAACGCCGCTAACTGTATTTCATAGACGCATCAGCTTGACGAGATAGGCAAGCCATTTCCGCCACCTTGCTCCCTGAGATCTGACAGTGTCGTTATCATTCTATAAACAACCCCAACCTTTGGGCCACCTTGCTCCCTGATATCTAACAGTGTCGTTATTATTCTATAAACAATCCCAACCTTTGGGCCACCTTGCTCCCTGAGATCTAACAGTGTCGTTATTATTCTATAAACAATCCCAACCTTTGGGCCACCTTGCTCCCTGAGATCTAACAGTGTCGTTATTATCCTATAAACAACCCCAACCTTTGGGCCACCTTGCTCCCTGAGATCTAACAGTGTCGTCATTATGCTATACTCAACCCAAACCTTTGGTCCACCTTGCTCCCTGAGATCCAACAGTGTCGTTATTAAGCTATACTCAACCCCAGCATTTGGGCCACCTTGCTCCCTGAGATCTAACAGTGTCGTTATTATTTTATACACAAACTTAACATTGTGGTTGACAACATCTGTGGTTTATTGGTACAGCGTCCGCCCGAACATTCGGCATTAAGGGACTAAAACAAGGGCTGGTTAGGTCGGTGTCAGTATACAGTGTCTGAGTGAGGTATTCATTTTAAACTGTGGCAAGGAATCTCAGCGGGCTAGCACTATAAAATAGGCATTCGACCGGACTAGTACAAGCAGACACACACACACACACACACACACACACACACACACACACACACACACACACACACACACACACACACACACACACACACACACACACACACACACACACACACACACACACACACACACACACACACACACACACTACGTGCACACACACACACACACACACACACACACACACACACACACACACACACACACACACACACACACACTTAATACGTGCAATATTCTTGGACGCGACTGCTCGGATTGGGAACTCCTCAGTGTGATAGGTTGACCCTACACCGTAGCGGCGATCGGGTAGCCTAGGATTTAAAGCGTTTGCTTCTCACGCCGGGGATCCAGGTTCGATTCCCCATGGGTACAATGTGTGAAGCCCGTTTGTGGTGTCCCCTGCCGTGATATTTCTGTAATATTGCTAAAAGCGGCGTAAAACCAAAACTCACTCACTCTTTGTGTAGCCCATTCAATTACCCCTCTTCGTGTTCAGTAAAAAATACTTCTTTTTGTGATATTTTCCAATATGTATAACTTTATAACATCAATATATATTCAAATGATGATTGACTGTATTCTTCCTTCCTTCTTTCAGGTCATTGCACTCATCTCCGTCGTGTTCGTGCTTCTGTCCATCTCAGTTTTCTGCATGGAGACTCATATTATATTCCGACACCCAAGGAACAGTTCGGTCGAGGGAGGGACAACTGTGCGAGAGATTCAACGCTTAACACAACCTTTGCTGTTTTTGAGTGTTATTGAATATACCTGCATCACGTACTTCACTATAGAAATCATTATCCGCTTTTTGTTTTGTCCCAGCAAGATTTCCCATTTAAAACACGTTTTAAACTGGGTTGACTTCACATCTGTTATACCTTTTTATACCAAAATTATCGTGGTGGCCATAGATCCATCTTTAGAAGATTCAACCGGGTTGTATTTTCTTAATTCGTTACGATTAATTCGAATTTTTAGAATTTTAAAATTGACTCGACATGTGAGTGGCCTGAAAATCTTAGCTCAAACAATCAAAGCCAGTGCGAAGGAGTTGCTACTGTTAATTCTAGTTCTGAGTATCGGAGTGTTGATATTTTCCTGTTTAATATTCTACGCCGAGCAAGTTGAGGAGTCTTCGAGAAATGACTTCCGGGATATACCAATAGCGTTCTGGTGGGCTGTGGTAACCATGACGACACTTGGATACGGTGATATGTACCCCAGGACAGGACTTGGTTACATCGTCGGTGCTATATGCGCACTTTGTGGTCTGCTCATGTTGGCACTTCCGGTTCCGGTGATTGTGAACAACTTCACCTTATACTATTCTCACGCTCAAGCCAGAATGAAGCTCCCGAAGAAGACCAAGAACTTTCTAGTCGGAGCGGCAGACGCCCTCAAACAACATGACTCTCGCGTTAGTCTCGAGAGCGGTGAGAGCAACCCGGAGCGATCTTCAAGTTCGGATATTCTCAAGAACCTCCACGATAAGGTGGACCGGAAGGGCAGCGATAACAGTGAGGAGAGCACTGACAGCGGGATAAAAACAGGTAAATATTTATTTTATTCAGGTCACAATAAGTTATTCTTAGACCTAGAAGAGAACGGGTGGCCCAGTCGTCTAAGGAGCCGCAATTCGCAGAGTTATGCCCCTTGGGCACGCAAGAAAATTATCATTGTGGGTTCGAATCTCGGTTTGCCCCGATTATGTTTCTAGGTTTGTCAGCACCATACCCGTGCTCATGGGTTTCACCGAAGTGGTAAACGTCTAAGACCGGTTATGAGTGCGCATGCGTATCGTCCTGATTACCGATGCAGAATTATTTTTGGACGCACATTTTTTCTCGTTCTGAAAAGTGAATGTTGAGCAAGAATTCCAATCGCGCAGCACTTGCTCTACCTCTGACTATAACATTACGCACCGATTTAGCATATTATATTTCTTATCTGAGAATGTAAAATTAATTGCAGAGATAAGATTGGCTTGAAAAACAGACAGTACGAAGTGTTGTCCGAGATTTTGCTATGCCTAAAATTTTGCCTCTTTTTCTCGTAGACCGCTAGAATAACCATGCGACGATTTTTTTTATTTGACAGCTTTAGATAAACCTTAAGCGAACAAACTTCAACATGATATCAGAACGACATAATGATATATACTGAACCTAATTAAAAACTTCACAATCCTAAGATTTTAACATTTTGACCAGTTATCATTGTGGGCCCTTATTGTGTATTTAAACAGTAATGGCCACGTATTGTCTTCAGATAACACCCGTTTTTGTGCAGGTGAATCGATCAAAATCATGTGCACAGCACTACAGTGGCAAAAGAGTTTTTTCACGTGCAACTGGTCACGTGGCCATAATACCGCACGTGTTTTCAGCCATACTTGTTAGCAGTCATTGACAAAAAAAGAAAAACACAAGGCAATGTGAACGTGCCATCGGCACGAAGTCGCAAGGACGATGTGTTGTAGTCGACGGACTGTTTATGATTTACAGACGCGTCTACAGCAAACGGGTACCACCGCTGATCGCCCTCGGCCAGGTCGACCACGGGTGACGTCACATGCAGAGGATCGTCAGATTGTCTTACGTCACCTCCGTAACCGATTTTTGACGGCTACATCAACCAGAAATGAACTGTTTAGGGGTAGACTGAGTGCGCAAACTGTTCGAAACCGTCTGAGAACTGCTCACCTTCAAGCACGACGGCCATACTGCGGGCCGATTCTGACTCAATTACACAGACGTCAACGTCAATTGTGGGCACAGCGACACTTACGATGGACTCAGAGGAATTGGAATCAAGTCGTCTTCAGTGATGAATCCCGATTTAATCTTCGATTTGCTGTTGGTAGGGCGAGGGTGTGGCGGCGCCGTCATGGACGTTACGCCCAGTGTTGTGTACAGGAAGTTGACAGATTTAGAGGCGGAAGTGTCATGGTGTGGGGTGCTTTCTAAGGCAATGCACGTTCAAGGCTTCTTGTCATCCGTGGCAACCTCAACGCTGCTGCTTACCGCGACCAAGTACTGGCACCAGAACTTCTGCCTTTTATGGCAGCGCATGGACCCGGTTTGATCTTCCAAAAGGACAATGCCAGACCCCACACAGCAATTTTGACAAGGAATTTCCTTCAGAATGCGGGAGTCAACGTCATGGACTGGCCTTCAAGGTCTCCCGACCTCAATCCCATCGAACACGTCTGGGATGCTCTTGGCAGAAGTCTGCGCACTCTCCAGAACCAACCACAGAATTTGCAAGATCTTGGCACCATTTTGCAGCAACAATGGCGTCGTCTTCCCAAACATATGTTCACAAGCATCACAAGGTCAATGCGGAGGCGTTGTGTGGCAGTTGTCAACGCACATGGTGGCCATACACGGTACTGAACTTGTGTGCCATCAGATTCTCGTGCTTGGGACTTATGATTTAAACTGTTGATGTTACTACCGAATACCGTAGGTGCTTGGAACAAATTATTGTTACCACCATTAATAAAAATCCTTCTTTGGACATTGATGATTAAAAATTACCTTCTCTGATACATTTGTCCGTTGTATATCATATATGGGATTACTTTTAAAAATGTGAAACTTTTAATTTGACTCAGTATATTAAATGGATTTCTAAGTCTTCGATAGCAAAAATTCTTGTCCAAAAAGACGAAACTCGATTTTCCACTATGACGTCAAAAGACGAGTGAGCGATATACAGACACACAGAGGAAAAAAGTGACATTGCTCCGTAGTGTGTAGAACTTGGCCATTGTAACTCGGCTCTCTTGATGATAATTTGCTTTGGGTCACGACAATATATTCTCGTAATTGTTTTGCTTACGTTGATAAAAAACTGTTTCAACACAAATTTCGATATTGAAACCATATACCTTTTAGGTATCATCATAAATTATGGCACTTCACTATGTAAAAAAAAAAGTAATATTTAGCGAAATGTGGTCCTATTTGATATTATTAGATTCCCAAGTTCACCTGATTGTGCACATGTAATTTGACCCACGTTGCACCATTATTAATGGATTACAGGTCTTATCGTCCAATATCCAGAACTACACAGCGCTTTGCTTGACGACATGGTTTGTTTTATGTCTTTGACGACCTCGGGGAAATACATTAGTACTTTAATTAATATACATCTTACCTTATATATTGTGAAGTCAATATTTAAAAACTAGCGAAACGTGATCAATGTATACACAACTAGAGGACAGTTGCGATTGATAGCGCAGACAGCATGAATATTCTCTCAATCAAACGAACAAAATCAATTTCCAAAACGGTTTACTTCTAATAATCTGTGCATATAATAAATAAATAATAGTATCAGTTTGTTAAAATGATATATTCAGTTTTAGTTACATGATGAAATGAAGTGAGTGTTCGCGACCTGTTTATACGAAATTCACTCAACAAGAAATACTTGCAGGCTGCAGTTTTAAACATTTTACATTTCATTTCTTGAAAGTAAGAAGGAAAACGACACGATATTTGTCATTGTTTTATGTAAATAACGTTTAAACAGACATTATAAGACACCCCTCATGGTTTATTCTGACTCCAGTGTTTTATTATACGATAAACAACTCCCACTGGTCGTTTATTTCTTTTGTGGCCTTGATATTGAACAGTAGATTTGGTATTTATCCAAAATGTACATTTGTGAGTGAAAAACCCCCATTTAAAATGTGATCAGGTTTTACTTCATGACTGAAACTGTAAACTGAATGATTGTGTGAATTTTCATTCGACCTTCACCTCAACTACCAAATATGTACTTACGTTTGACATCAGTGACCTTTCACAAAATGGCGTGTTCAATGAACGGGGAACGTCAGATATTCAGGAGGATTTTCCCTGTTTCAAAGTTCGTATGCACATAAATGAATCCTGTAAGTTATCAGGGTGAATTTGACAATCTGCGATTTGTTTTGTGTTTTATGCTTTTCACTAGGCCCCAAAGACTGGGTAGAAAATGCAGATAAATTCTAAATACTGTCAACGTGCGCAAGTCTGCGTCAGTGATGGCGTCACGAGGAACTTTATTAACACTTTCATTTGTATTTCCCAAATAACTGTAATGAATCTATTTTTAAGGACTAATTTTTCTACTTATTATCTATCCATGCGTATTCTCAATAATATGATCCAATTATGTGACGAATAGAGGAGTGGCTCTAAATAGTAAATAAATGCTGCACAAACTAAAATCTGGATTTGGTTTTGTTTACATTTTCAAACCAACTACAATACATTTTTCCGAGCACTTCTTTCCTTTTCTACACCTGTTTTATTTCGTTTGATTTCATCTGAATCATTTGTGATAGTTTGACATATGAGTTTAAAATATATGAGGAATTCAGGGATGTGTGTATTGCAACTGAGTGAAATATTTGCAACCGGCATACGCGAAACGTGATTTTGTCAACTCGTTTTTTTTTTGTTTTTCGTTAGTGCTATTTTCGTTCCAAAATATACTCACTATAGACACGAGTCTAAGGTTACAGGCGGTGTTTCAGAATTTCAGTGTTTTGTTTTGCGTAGAATGTCCACATGACATGATACCACAGAACAGAGATTGTCACGTAGAATCTGTGCACAGGATGAGAGTCCGTGGTGTATTTTGAGTTTACTCAACTTCAAAGACATAGTGAGGGTTCAAGGAGACCCTATCTTCCAGAGTCAAGGGGTTTATCAATTACGAATGCAAATATACATGGAGACATGCGCTCCCTTCAAAAGTTTGTTTTGAGTGAAAATAATGACAACAAACTGCTCTGTTTATGTTAATTTTGTCGAGAGCACATGGTGTGCTTGATCAGCATGACAACGCCAGACCCTATACAGCCCGAACCGTACAGAACGTCCCTGGTCTGCACGCTCCCCAGACATATTACAGTTTATGATTTTAGGATGGAGTTATCTCCCTTTACCAAAAATAAATCATTCTGACCTCTTTGAATAAAACTCTGAATCTTTATGAATAATAATTTGAAAGTATTGGAAATGAATAATATTATTTCAATAATGTTGGGCTTGTAAAGCAAAATCACTGAGAAAATTAAAACCTCATATTACAGGAGTAAGAAGAAACAAAAGATGGTACTTTGCAAACAAAATCATAAATATTATGATATTTCCTATCACAGATAAGCCATTTTGGTATAGTGGGTGCAATATTGTGTTCTTTTATAAAGTATATGCTCATACCTTCACTTCAATACCCAAATAACTTTAGTCATTCTCAATTTTTATTAAACTTGTCGCACTTTCCTTAATCACATGTGCGCTAAATGTTTTGCTGAGTCATGCCTTTAATGGCATACTGTGAGGAAATGGTCAAGATACAATTTGTAAGAAATTGATTTTTCGAAAATATACTCAATCTTCTTCATGATCCTCATTTCAAACCTTTTGGACCTCTGAGGTAAATAAATTCCATGCTATCTCTTGGACTATATCACCCATAGAACATTTCTGGGATGTCATGGATCGTCGTGTTCGACAACGACCACATCCTCCAGACTACCGACAAGAACTGATTCAGGCCCTTCAAGAAGAATGGCGACGTGTCCCACGTGAGGTCATCAGACGACTGAGTTTAGTTTCCGTGTGCTCCGGAGAGTCATTGCGTGTCTTGTAGTAGCTTGTGGTCAAACACGCTATTAACTGCGTCAGCCTGGTGAGGCTCATTATCAGCTCAGGGCCCTTGCCCCCTCTACACGCAGCCCACACAGCGAATGGGATTTCTCCCAATAAGGGCTACCTGGTCGAACCCACAGAGAACTTTTCGGAGAATGTGAAGACTCCAAAATATTAAAACTGATTCATCTTCTGATAAACTCGGAATCCTACAATGATATTTCTTATGATTTTGAAAAGGGCTGTGTCGATTTTATTGATTTGACATGCTACTTGAATTCTTACACGTGTTTCGTCAAAATCAGTGTGCCGCAATTAAGTACATTCGCACTTGCGTACATAATAATATTAATACTTTATATTGAAAAATATATGTGACTGTGTGCTACTATCTGACTGGTCGAAAAACTTTGTATCCCATAAATCATACAGACTTGCCATTGCGTTGAATACTTTCTATGATAAGTACTTTTTTTTCGAATTCTCGATTTTTAGAAAAAACAACCGCATCATTCAGCTTTGAGAAATACCTCAGTAAATAAGTAATAAGTTTGATCAATATTTTATTAGAACAATTTGGATTACGTTATTGTTTTTCCCACATTCTGCTAACCAGGTTCAGTTATCACCCAAGCATATGTTATATGTTGTATCATGACATCCCAACGTGGCGTCTTAGTATTCCAGTCTCACAACATTGAGGGGGCGGTCGGGTAGCCTAGTGGTTAAAGTGTTCGCTCGTCACGCGGAAGACATGGGTTCGATTTCCGACATGGGTACAATGTGTGAAGCCCATTTCTTGTGTCCACCGCCCTGATATTGCTGGAATATTGCTAACAGAGGCGTAAAATCAGACTCACCGTCTCACTAATAACACTGAGTGATTACAAATTTGAAAACACACTATGTTTATCTCCTAAATACTGTAAAATATCTTGTCGAAACGTTTGAATCAATCGGTGGCACCCGTCACAAACACATGCAATGCAAGTCAATTATTCACCTAAAAACACACACGGTAACATATGGTACAAGTCAAAATGGGGAAGTGCATCTGACATCGTTTTGTCACTGATGCGTCAAATTTGGAAATGTGCTGCACATGTCTACCATAAAACTTTTTGAAAGACTCACCGAGGCCTTGATTGTTGTAACAAGGTCAAAGAACGTCTGAGCAAGAGTTGTATGCGTCTCTTTGAAGTCTTTGAAGAAAGAGCATGCCCGAATGTACCTCAAAAGTTATGGAATGTAGACACCAAGGACTGGGCCTGCAGCAATTTTGCTCCAAATAAAGGGAAAGTTGACTATTGGAAAGTTCAAGTCACCCTTATGTCATACAGTCTTGTGGAGAATCTTTATGCATCGATCTAAATATGAAACAGATGAAGCGGTCTCACTGGTCTCCTATATTTCTAGTTCAGTGGGTAAATCAGTGGAAGGGAAATGGCGATTTTCAACGTTATTGAAACTCAGATGTTCATTCGATGACATATCATTTTTACAAATTAATTAATATTTGCATAAGTGTCAATTTTACATGAATCCTTTTTTTAGGATTAGCAATGAAATACTCTTCGAGTCAGTTTAAATAGATGTTTCTGTTGATGTTTTACTTGAAGAAATAACAGCCCCGAATCCCAGTCGTTGTGTATTTAATAGGCGCCAAAGTGTTTTTTCAGTCTGTTTTAATTGTGTGGTTGTGTAACCATCAGGGAATATAATCTCTCAGCTGCTGACCTTGGACTTCGTACTGCCTCGTGCCCTTGTCCTCCTATCGACATCCGGTGTGGCTGACCTTGGCAAGGTTACTGATAGTTGTTCTGCTGAAGCTGTAGCATTACGAAGGATGAACAAGCCTGTTTCCGTGACTTATGCTACACGACGGCGCATACTGAGTTAAATCGGTGACATGAATAATTAAATGCTTGTGGGAAACAGTCCACTTCATGCAAACAGTCCTTGTATGTGTATGAACGTTCGAGAGAAAGGGATCTCTTGGTGCGGAGTCGCTGTGTCTATCTTTGGTTGTTGGTTTGGATGTTCAGATGAAATTGTGACTGGGGAGTGATATCTGAAAAAAATAATAATACGATAATGCAAAGAATAATATATTTGATGACACATAGTAATATAACTGAAACACTGCGAAGTTTAACCTATCTCACGTTTGTAATGTAATTATGTATTCAAGTTCGATTCATTATCAGTGTAATAGAACATTTTCACCTCATCAGCTCGAAGACCTTTCCAAGAAACTTGACTGCTTCAGGTATGAATAATGAACACTTGGAGGTGACTCGTGCATATATTTACCGCGTATAAAAAACAGCGCCAAAAATCATTTTCATAATCATAAGGGTACATCATAAGCAAGTGTTTACATAATAAAATAGTGATGATCACCCGTCACAAACACGCGCAAAGGCAAGTCAACTATTCCCGTAAAACACACGAGAACATTTGGTACAAGTCAAAATAGGGAAAGACTTATTATGAAACCAGAACATCACACAAACTACTTCGTCATATATAATGAATTTATCCTCCTTTCTACACATACACATCAATGTGAAGACAGACGCTAACTGATTACATTCGGCTCACACTCATCCAATAGCTTATCTCGGACGGCATTGAGACGAATCCATATTGAAACTTGATCAATTGCTTTACAAGTTCACGTGACTGGCACATTATACAACACAATTTGGCGACCCTTATGTAAACGTTGCTCAATATATATCATAATACCCAAAGTATACCCAGTTAATCATGAAAGGGTTATTCTCAAAATCATTTTGTACGACCTATATGCGAAAGGATCTGTTGATATGCAGTTTACGATGAATTCCTGCAGTATCACTACTCCATAGGTATAGGCTCAATTTAATTAACAGCTGTGACATCACTATATCGTTTCACCTGTAGAAGATCTGTAAGAAGTGATAGTTTACTGACCTACTTTCAGCAATGCAAAGTCTAAGCTCAGGCATGAATTCTAAGCACGTACGGTAAACTACGGTTATAACGAACTACGGTTATAACGAACTCAAAGGGACCACAAATTGTAGTTCGTTATAACCGTAGTTCGTTATAAGCATATATACAGCATATATACAGCAGATGGCCGGGACCTAAAAAACAGTTCGTTATATCCGGCAGTTCGTTATAAGCGTGTTCGTTATAAACGTAGTATACTGTACATTAAAAATATACTTGTTACAATGATCAAATTGCACAAAATGCAGATGTCGCACTGAGATACCATGCGGCAATTTTAACACGAATACCCCACTCAGACACAGTATACTGACTCCGAGCAGACCGAGGCAGGCAGGGTAACATGAAGAGCCATCTTTTAACGTCTTTTGGTATGACGCGACCGGGGATCGAACGCCCTACCTCCCACTCTCCCTGTAGACGCATGTGGTAACGGGAACGATAAAAAAAAAACACTTTCATTCGAAGCCCATATCCGAAGGCGATATTTGTTAATGGTTCTTTATGTAATATTGTGTAATAACGGTACTCCGCTTGTCTCGAACTACGCATAGCTCGACAAATATCCGATTGTCCCTATCACCTTGAGAAACCGAAATTTCACTCATATTTCCATGTCCACTTTAGTCATGATCGCGATTTTTATATTTGTTTCTTCGATTTGTTTGTGTCTAATTAATTATTTACGTCTCTTGCTTCTAGCAGGTTAATTTGTGTTCAAGAAAGACTTTTTTCCACGGTTTCACAATGACAAAGGCCAAATTATTTTTCCCAAATACGACATGACGATAAGACTTCCAAGGAATGCATTTAAGTTATAACAGACATGATTCAGATTGCCATTTTGGCACTGGCGATTTACATGACCTCTGTATTCTGTCTGTAGTGAGCAACAGCGGGGAGATGAGCGGCATCAGCGTCATCTTCACAGACGAGATGACGTATCCGCAGCTTCCCCGGGTTCGAACCCCGCCCTCCGTCAAGCGGAAGAAAAGTCAGCCCCGACGACAGAGCCCTACTACAAACGGCGGCGGCAGCACCAGACGAGGTAGTGTGATTATCCTGTTAGCCACACCTTCATTGTCAAGATGCATTTAAGATTCATTTAAAAAAAAAATTTTTTGTTAGGGAATATTAGTCTGATTTGTAAGGACGGGGAGGGGATTATTTTGAGAACAATCTATCTTTTACACATCTATATCCTACAATTTTTGATTTTTTAATCAGAACCATCAAACAATCTATTCATTTACACTGTAAACATCATAATTTTGACGTTGTTTTTTTCATGATTTTTTTAAGAATTCGATTAAAAGAATCTGTTCTTAACTAAAATTGAAAATTCAAACAAACTATTCATTTTTTTACCACTGCCAACAATGTATTTACTTTGGGAATATTTCTGAACACATTATTCATTACAATCGACGCTCATGATGCTCATGATGTCAATCACTGGATTGCTGGTCCAGGCTCTATCATTTACAGATCGCTGTCGTATGGCTGCAATATTGCCGAGTGTGGCGTTAAACAACAAACAAATCTTATAAGTGTTTGGTGTATGCGCCTAGATAATTTGACGTTTGATATTTGGCAAATAGAATTACTAAACTATACCAAGAAATATATTAATAACATTAATGTCATATGTGTTTCAGGTTCAATGACCTTGAAAAATAATGGGACGTCAAGAAGAAGGTCTCTGTTCCCCACAATGGCGGATGTCGACGTGTGAGCCGCGGCATCAGTTCACGGTGTTGACGTCGACAATTAGCAGCAAGAACGCGCATGACGTCGCAATGCTGAAGTGCTTTGCTTCCCACACACTACCAGGGGCGCGTTGCAAGCCAAGAATCGCTTAGAGTAAGCAAATTAATCGCTCACCCCGGGGTCTGCAACAGTTCGAAGCGCTTACGCACTCTTCCTAAATGGCTGCGCATCTACGGCTTGGTTGCCTTGCCCTAATGAAGAACGTAATGGAAGAGGCTCGGTGACGAACTGATGAAATTTATGACTACTTTGAAGATGTGGAGCAGACTGAGGATGATGGGGTGTTAGCTGCCTTTGCTCATTTCCGAGTTGATCGAGTCAAGAATTTCTTGTTCCGTTTTCGAACTCAGCCGCCATTTTAGTTTGAGAAGGACGCGACCTCAGTCAGCGAATGGAATGATTGCAAGCGGCTGAAAGTTAGCGCCCTGTTGTAAGGCGAATCGCGATTGACGCTTTGTAACGCTCCCCAGTTGTAATTTTGACATCGACGTATTGTGACGTCGTGTGTTATGACATCAGATCATGATAACCTTCTGACATGACGTCACATGCTGACGTATACAACCATATCTGTGATGTATTACGAAGATATTGGATAGCCATGTGCATTCAACACTACCCGGTGAAAAAATGGACATGGTTTGGTGTAATTGACTAGCCATATTTCAGCGGTTATGGGGCACGGAATAGCACAGGATAGATATTAACTGGACAACATACTATGGTCAAGCCGTATGACGATAGTAGGTAACACCAGTTGTAAAACTGGTTCAGCTTACTGGTTTCGTAAAAGAACGTTTCTGTTTTAAGATTGACAAATTTGTATTTTTATGAGTGTGGTTCGTTGCTTCGGTTGAAATGGTTTGGGGTTGGGGGTTGTTGGGTGGCTGTTAAAATAATTCACCAGGACATAATCGAAGTGATAATTATCATGTGATATTTTTTTTATACACATTACGTTTATAAAATGGGGCGGTGGGGTATCCAAGTGGTTTAAGCGTTTGCTCGAGAAGACGCGGTTTCGATTGCACACATTGGTACAATGTGTGAAGCCTATTTCTGGTGTCCCCTGCTGTGATATTTCTGGAATATTGCTAAGAGCGGCGTAAAACCATACTCACTCACGTTTATTGAAAGAACCGATATATTGGAATTACAGTATATACCGAACCACTGCTTTCCGAGACTACGAGGAAGCTCAGTTGCCAATAGGAACCACTGCAAACACTAGATAATTAAAAAGCAGTCGACTCTACAAAGAAAACTGGAATTTTTAAAGGGTTAGTGTGGGATGGGAGCTGAGTTGAGGGATGGTCCAAAATTTGAGACAAAAATGGAGTACAATAATATGGAATCCCAGTATTGCCTCCTCGCCCTTACAAATCCAAGCCAAACTTGAATTGGTCAAAATGTTGTGTTGTCGCACTTTGATACATTTTGTCATTTTGCGACAAGGCGATAGTGCCCCTTTTAATGTACCATACAAACCACAGACATGTATTGTAAGGGCGACAAGGTGACAGTGTCCCTTTTAGTATTCCATACAAACCACATTATTATTCTTTCGACCCTCACTCACTGTCTCCCCTTATCCTGAGTCACCCGCCATCTACATTCTCAGACTCTACCGCCTCGAGGGGCGGTCGGGTAGCCTAGTGGTTAAAGCGTTCGCTCGTCACGCCGAAGACCCGGGTTCGATTCCCGACATGGGTACAATGTATGAATCCCATTTCTGGTGTCCCCCGCCGTGATATTGCTGGAATATTGCTAAAAGCGGCGTAAAACCATACTCACTCACTCACTCTACCGCCTCTACCAGTTCATTTGACTATTTTGACATCCGATTTTACTAGTGTTACACCGTGATTTACAAAAAAGGTACTGCATAAAAACACAATAGATTATTTTCAAGGATAACATTTAGAACACTTTTCTTATCGATAATTCATTATGAGGTTGTTTTTGAAGGAGCTCCAAGCGATGGTCCCGCATTCCAACCACGGTATTAAATACGGGAGCTTCTACACGAAATATTGACTCAAACCAAGATTCAACATAAAAGCAATTTATCAAGAGCCATGAAAATCTCGAGCAGCAAAACTTGTGATTTTTCTAAATGAATCCCTGCTGGTCATCGATCCCACATTACATTATCGTCTGCTTTGTTTTTAAAATGGCGCTGGTTTATGACGTCACGCTCGTGGAATCGATGGCGCCATTAATCAGATTGCGGACCACCTGTGGAAATTCACACACTTGTCTTGATGTGAGTATCGGTGATTTGAGACACGAACTCAGGCAACAAGGAAGAAATGAGGAAGGAATGAGGTTGTTTCCATTAAACGATTTCTTTGAATTACTTAGCTATTTCAAGAAGATTATTGACGTAAATGATGTAATTGTTACACTGTGTTTATGTATATATCTGATATTGAACAATATATTATATGAACATTATTTAGTCTATACATCCCCTTGTTGTTTGTGGTTTGTCTTCGATCGCATCAAGTATGCGCTGTATACTTTTCAGTTGTCGTCCAAGGATTTCCATTGGCATCCATTGATATTTTTGCGAAGAAAAATATTCTACTAGGAGGGTTTGAAACTTGAACAGATTTATTGAGTTATTTAATATTTATTATGAACTCTATAACCGCATTTGTAAGGAATGCGTATGCATGGTTGGAAATCAATTTGATTTGACGTGAGTGGGTAGTTAAGAGATATGTATTTCACCATGTCAATTGATATGAAGAAAGGTTTTTTCCATAGCAAGGAAATAATTATGATCGGTATTTTGAAAAGTGCTCAGTCGTAAGTTCTATCATGTGTTTGTGTATTATTTTAGAGAGAGAGAGAGAGAGAGAGAGAGAGAGAGAGAGAGAGTGTGTGTGTGTGTGTGTGTGTGTGTGTGTGTGTGTGTGTGTGTGTGTGTGTGTGTACGTGTGTGTGTTCGAAAGATGAGCTGACCACTTAACATATGACTTTAATAATAACTTGAAAGTAAACATATTTGATATGTTAGTCAAGTCATTGATGCGACTGTATACACAAGAGACCATTTGTTAAGGTATATATTTGCCCCTTTAAGTATTTTTTATTATTTTAGGTATAAAAGGGGTCCAAACAATACTTTTCCCTTCAACCTACCTGCTATCACTATTAGACAATTACGAAAAATTACATTCGTTAAAATTGGATCAACTAAATGAGGAAAAGATCAGGGTTATAAAACGTGTTTCTAATTACACAATCCACGTTATCGACATTAATATGCAAACATCCACAGTTAACCTTTCGCTTGTAAACGGAGATATTGATTTTAAGACGTGCATGACCTTTTGTATTTTTCTGAACGAGAACAAGGGGAAACTTAAAATCTGAAATGAGTAGAATCGGTAAGAGTGAGTGAGCTTTTATACTTGAACAGTATGCCAGTTATATCACGGTGTGTAAGCATGATGTTGAAGGACAGCCCGAAGTGAGGCAGGTCTTAGACATTTACCGCTCGGGGGAAACCCAAGAGCACGGGTATAGTGCTGACAATCCTAGAAACATAATGTGGGCGAACCGGGCAAGGATCACTGGCCTTTGGCACACCGAATTCCAGCACCTCAGACGATTCTGCCACCTGTGACCCAGGTTCACTACGGTACTATACACACGAGTTGTCATACACGTTAGTAATAAAAAATAGGATTACCTTCGGAAATGTGTAGTTAATTATAAAAGCGATGTCGATGAAACACCAGTGTCAACAATGAAAGACTGTGACGTCAACATGGACTGTGGCGTCATTACATAGTTCGTCATCAATAAGATACTGAGGCTGGTGCGTCATCATGCCTTTAACACCGTTGCCTGCATTACACCAACCATATCTCGGCCGAATGAGGAGTGACATCATTACAGAACACATTCTTCGCATAGATGGTATTTACTCGCTTTACTCGTGAATCAAATATTTCCGAATTCAATCACATGTCGTTACTGCGCTACTCTGTTTTGAATGTGAGTGTAGAATCTAATATATATATATATATATATTTATAATAATAATAATTAAATAAGTGGAGTAAGATTGAACACAGTCTTTATTGGCTAGCGCTTTCAATAATGTCCGTTATTCAGTTATGGCCCGATGAGACTCGTACGTGGCACGAGTTGAAAGCGCTACCCAATCAAGACTGTGTTCAATCTTACTCCACTTATTACATTATTTAATTATTACTATATTGTGCCTGAGAGTTAGAACTGTACTGCTCTCTCTCTCTCTCTGCTCTCTCTGCTCTCTCTCTCTCTCTCTCTCTCTCTCTCTCTCTCTCTCTCTCTCTCAGCGAGCCTGACCATCCATTTATGATAGCTATATATTTTATTTCGATCAAGTTTCAGACAAATGTTGTTTCTGTAAAGCATACTTTCTGTACAGTGTGGTTGCCCCTTATAACATAGATTTTAAAATGACAAGCTATAAGAAAGCAACAAATATAAGACAACTTAACTGAATACATTTAAAATCTATTGATACACACAATGAAGAACGCGCGACGTGATCACTTATAATGTGGAAACATCAACACGTCAGGAAAGTGTAACATGTCCTATTGTTAGACGTATAAAGACTGAAGTGAATGGACTGATCCTCCCACGAGTATTGGGACGTGGGCGATATGTTAATTCTTAACAGTAAGATGCTGCACCACCAGCCACTCCATCATCCTTGGCACGAGGCTCAGAATATAAACTGCAGGGCAAAAGAAAGTATACCGATTTGTTTTATTTAATTGAAAATTGAAGTAACTGTTGTTAAAGTTGATTATGTCTATTTAACCATCACTCATTCCTGCAACAGTTTGTGAAAAGTAAGATGTGTCTGGGTAATTTTGAGTAATAATAAATTGGTTCAAAGAAAACTGGCGTAAGAAATGAATTTGCAACCACATGACTCCTACCCTTTTTGATATATTGTAAATTAGCGCCGACAAAAGTTATTGATTTTTAAAGATAGCATGTCTGAGATACCCATGCGTAGTTGTATATTATGCGAAATGATTTATTTTAATTTGTAAAAGTTAATACTAAAAAACCCAAAACATGTAGAAGTTATCTTTGAGAGCTGACTAAGCTCCAGCACAGTTTCCTATTGTGGATATGTGGAGCATATGCCATGCGTCGAGTGAAATATATTTTCTCTCATCGAGTGACGGGGGAAGGGAGATATTTTCACGAGTGGCTACGTTGAATATCATACATATTATATACTTTTTTGTGTACTTGTCTAGCGGAGAATGAAATTAATTCATTATAAATGTAAAACCTTGAAACGTAAATTCTCCCTACCTAACACACGGGGACGTTTCTTCACCTCTTGTAATTGCGACTTAAAAAGTAGTTCCGTGTATGCAAAATTTTAAAAATATAAACAAAAGTAACAAAACATATTCGAGATTAATAAATAAATTATCATACATTTAGATATGATTATTTACAAAATCAACTTAAGGTTTTTCTTCTTCAAATCAACAAGACAATTGTTGGGAGCGAAAGAATACACACTGGTCAAGTAACAAAAATGGACGACGAAGAGTCTCAATTGACAATTTAAAAGAGAAATTAACAGATTATAACGAAACATTTTCACCAGAATAACAAACGGCAATATGCGATATGAACTCTATAAATCACTATCTGTCATTGTCATTTTGTGTACGGGCTAGACACCATCGATAAGGGAGGAGATAATTTTCGGGGAGGTAACTCTTGTAAGATAATAGTTCCTTCAAATTGTTGAGTTCACTGCAGTGAAATATTAGGTATTATTTTCACTGCAGTGAAATATCAAGTGTCATATTCACTGCAATGAAATATAACTTTTCTCAACTTCAGAAAACTCAGTCTTTCACACGTAAGTATATAATAAAAGCTATTAACTTTAACAAATGAAACACATAATAACACCAACTGAGAGGTATAGTTTCTTTTGCTCCTCAGTATATTAAGGTATGTGAACCTTCAGGGAAGTTTCAACAGCAGTAAAACTTTATCGCGGATATCCTTCTTATTAAATATGTACAAGATGGACGTCACTTGATCCCAGCAAGGCAACGCCACGAAATCCCAAGAGCATGTTATCAAAACACATTTATTGATTCATCAAGCTGATTGAACATATCAGTTTCATATAAACACTCAACAACTACACCGACATATCAAATATCACCACATGGGAGGTTATACATTTAAGGGTACCACATGTGGACAGGCGCAACGTGGATATATAGGTTCTGGAGCTCACCTTGTGGTAGAAGCACTTTAGTTCGGGTTATTCTAACGATCCAAATAATGTGTTTTTCGGGATTTTAACATAGCGCCACGGAGCATTTTCTGTTTAAGGAGTTTTGGAAAATCTGGCAGCTCTGATATGCAAATCATGACAATTACATCTACATTTTGTTAGTGTTTGGGTAAGTGCAATGCTTTTATTGCTACCAGATATATCTCTGGCGTGATTTGAAGCTTGGAGTCTGAATAGTAAGTTAAGGATTCGATTCTCTAATATCGTTGTACCACTCTTGTTGCTACATCTTTGTTTAAACAGAAACAAGAACAGATCTTTATTTCCGACATCATGGGAAATCGCACATATGAAATCCAATTAATATCTCCAACATCATGTAATTTCTTTTTATGAATCCTAATATCGTTTAGAATATGTTGTAGAAGACTGTCTGGTGACGCTTATCCAGTAGGATCCGCTATATCCTCGGGCCAGGCATTTCTCCATTCAGGGAAGCGACCACATTTTGCCAATATAACTTTGTTCGAATACTTATAATTAAAATATAGTATAAACTTGCAGAATTTAGTATGAACCTTTCAAAAGAATTGTGAAAATTCATACTCCCGAGCTCCGAAACATATAATAGGATTGGCTGTATAGGATAGACACGGTGAACACAGACTATACATTTTGGTATCATTGTGGGGACTATTTTAACACCATCTCCCAAGAAGGATAAATAATTAAAGAACTTCCCCTCAACGACAAATAATGTGTCACAGCTCTGTACAGTTTAGGGTCATCAAAAGCAATTTCCAGATCCAAGCTAATTTGAATCTACACATATGCACCGTTTCCAATCACTTTCCAGGACAGACAGAAAAGACTTCATGTCGCATAATTTCTTCACTATAAGTCTAGTCGAACACTCCGTTTGTTCAAGAATGTTTATCATTTACTAATACTTTTATAAACTAGCTTTGTAACTGTTCACTGAGAGTTTCATTGTTTGTCATTGAGATAAACATTTTTCCTTCAAAAGACAAATAGAAAAATAGTGCTATGGTTTACCTGAATATGTAGCTAACAGTTATAAACACCAAAGACAGTCACTGAACAAAAATGCCGTTCGCATTAATTTATACCATTTTCTGTATACATAACAAAAATAGCACTAAAACTGAACACAACTGGATGTCGTCATAAGGAGAAACTTGCATGTCAAAGTTCAGCTCCGTCAGTCTGGCAATTTCAAAAGCCCTATGACGTCACAGTGCTTCCTTGATGAGAAAAATACGATATACAAATTTCTTACATTAGGTTATTTACATAAAAGGAAGCCTTTAGTGAAGCTACTCAGCATGGATGACATTTCATACGTTTATTTCTTCATTTTCTCTCTTAAAATGTCAGAATAACCTACCCTAAACTTGGAATGAAGGATCATATTTTTCTCGTGAAGGAATGACGTGACTTACAGGGTTCATTCACGAGGGAAAGACAATCCGTCATTCGTTGTTTCGAGGAGGTTATTCCCGTAGTATGCTGCAGTTGCCCTATACTAATTAGGAGATAAACATACTGTGTTTTCAATGTAGAGCTAGGTTACCTGTAGATTTAACCCCGCTAAATTGAATTTGGAACCGAACGCGCAGCGTGAGGTTTCAAATGTTAAATTTAGCGCGGTTAAATCTACAGGTAACCTAGCTCTACATTGAAAACACAGTATGTTTATCTCCATTCTACCGCATCTGTGCATTTTGTAACCCGTAATTGTAGATATAATTGTTTAAATATGCCTACAGACAATGACTGAAAAAAGTGCTATTCTATGAATATCAGCTTCCTCGGTGATGCGGCCGTCAAACCAGCTGTTTCAATCAGAGGGGTTTTATTGTAATTTAATAGTCTCTGATTGACCAATCAGAATCGAGTAAATTCCAAATTCATGGTAAAATATATTTTGTCGTTTGGCTACAACAAATTAAACCATTAGATATTTCAGAACGTACAGGACGCACAAATGGCCGACACGATCAACACGACGGGGGATATTTCTGAAGTTGTTAGATAACTCTGGCGATGAAATGCTTGTCAATACTCATAAACTAGCCTATCATTCAAAGGTGATTATAAAGAAATGTCGAATATATATTGAAGTAAATTCATAGATTGGGGATGAATGTGTTTGAGTGTCGCTGTCAGTCCAGGCGCGGATTGATTCGATAGTTTGGTTGTGCATATCGCTTCGTTACGTTTATTAGGATGGGCGGGGGTATTGAGTGCAGAGAGTATAAGTGTCTAAATAGTTAGATACAACGCTTATCTATATATCTGAGTAAGGGAATTCACAGGGCATTGTGTCTATCAGGTTGTTCCTTGGGAATCTGAAAGTAGTAAGTAGTCAGCGTTTACGTCATTCCAAGAATATAGTCTCGTACAGAAAAATACCGTATTAATTCATTGAACAGAAGGAAGTATTGACCCTAAATATTTTTAAGCAATATTTCAGATAGCTCTGTGTGTGTGTGTGTGTGTGTGTGTTTGTGCGTGTTTGTGCATGTGTGTTTGTGCATGTGTGTTTGTGCATGTGTGTGTGTGTGTGTGTGTGTGTGTGTGTGTGTGTGTGTGTGTGTGTGTGTGTGTGTGTGTGTGCTAGTGCGTGTGCGCGTGTGCGCGCTGCTTCACTAAAATAAGATGAATTTTAGAAAATGCACAAATGCAAAAAGTGTACTTTGTTGTCGCCAGGCACACGTAGGCAGGCACATCATTTGTTTTATGTTATTATTATCGTGATATTAATATAGAGGATATTTTAGTTCCGAAGACAAATAGGTTTAAGGTGCCTAAGGTCGAACGACGGAATAAAATCATTAGCCCATGTTGACGACGTCAAGGCGAGCAACATGGTTTACGGACTGAACTTCAGATAACGACGATACACTCATAGCCCTCTAGTCCAGCTGGGCTGACACAGTGTTATCGTACCAATGATGGCATAACAAAGATATCTTCAATTTTACAGAACGTTGACACAATAACACATATGCAGAACATACAAGTCGTAGTTTAGAGAAAAACTATCATTGATATTTTTTTAATTATTCGTGATTGGGATTTCGAATTATGTAGGACGAATCCCTATTTCGAAGTAGGTCGTAGACCCGTTTTGTGAGAACGACAAGCATGTGTTTATTTATTTATTGACAAACCAAGGACTCAAACCTACAACATTCGGATCCTGACGTCGAGCCCTGTAAGGCAAATTGTAGCTAACTAAATCGCCCGTGTCATTTTATCTTTAATTTTTGGCAACGTCGATTTTTTCGGAAGCCAGAACACAATATATTTTAATATATTCGTATTAACCTTATACATTCAACTATGTGGGTCTGTAGGGTCCCAAGCCGTGACGATCTACGCTTTAACCACTTGGCTACCCGTCCCGCCCTTACTGTTTTGAATGTCTATATGTAAACACAAGCCAATGACTATTGGGTATGCGTTAACCCTGACGTTTCGATGAGACTGGTATCAGTCGGATTAATGGAGTTTCGATGTATAGCCACTTATAAAGGATTTAAATTTTTGCTAAACACATAATATTTGTTGAATGTTTTTACACCTAGAGAATCGCGACAATTGTTAGTCCTATTAAAAGCATCTGAACTAACTTTAAGAATAACTAAAGAACGGTGGGAAAGACTACATTATGAAGAAAGAAAAGATCAACTCTGTGACTTACGGGTATTCGAAACTGTTTCCCCCTTGTGTGGGTCCTGCTGACCATTTCAGTAATAAGATATCTTGACTATGCCGTTGATGTAGTGTTATAGTTATGAAATTGTTAATTTTGCTTTGTTAGATAACTGTGCTATATTAATTAAAACGGAAATGTAGCAGAGAAAAAATGTTACCAAATAGCTAAATGCTGTTTCACTATTCATTACCGTGCCATCATGTTAATTAATACGGTAATGTTTTGTACGTGGGCAGTTTGACTTCTACCAACATGAACCATAATATGATATGGTGCACTGTACAATAGACCATACATCTCAACATTATAATATATACACATCTAAAAGTTGGAGATATATATCATTAGACACGCCACACATAAAGACAATGAAGAAACGCAAACACACCCTCAAATAAATATAAGCATATATACTCAGCGTCATTATTAAAGGGTCACCTAGGTATGCAGGGTGTCACACTTGAACGTATACCCACAAGCGTCAAGAGGTCTAAGTATCTTGACAATTTGATTAATTTATAAACATGTTATTAATGCTTGTCACACTGATTGGATGTTTTTTTTTATGAAACATGGACAACGACTATCAAAATCAATGAAAAGTACAAACTTGTAATGGAAAAGGCTACTTAAAACACACGCCTGAACGCAACCAGTGGTTAAGCCAATGCACGTGCAATACATGACACGTTACAGTCAATGTGGGCATAAAATTGTTTATTCCAGATACAACTGAACTGCACTTTTGGAAGTTGAAAATGCAACGTTTTTAAAATACATTTATTTCTTATTATCTGCGTGACCCCTCAGTAATAATGTTGAGTAATCATATTACAGTAACACATTGATACACGTTCTTAAAACCGTAAAACCTGTACAATACGTACAAACATACATAGGTGAACTCAATGATAAATTGAAAAGTCGTTAACGAGAAGTGACCTCGTCGTCAAGACAACCAGTTTCTATAACGTCTTTTAATACGAATCTTCGGTTAATCCGAGGTAACATGTCACGGCTATAATTGTATGTAATCAAACATTTAACGTGAATATCAATATATTGGGCAGTGGGTAATTCGTTTTAAGTCAGACTCAATACATAGTACGACTTATGATATAGTCGGAATCGTAAAAATGGACACTGCGTTTAGCAGAGATTTCTTGTCATTATGGAAAGAGTTTTGTCGCTTTTATTTAAACTATAACATCGTATTTAAGAGTAAATGAGTGAGTACATTGTCAGTCTTTTCATGGTAGGCATTAATATTACAGTTTTATTTACAGCTTATTGCAACTGGTTGATTGCATGATCATCAATCGTGAGGGAGTATGGTTTAATGCCGCTTTGAGTGAGTGAGTGAGTTGGGTTTAACGCCGCTTTTAACAGTATTCCAGTTATATCACGGCGTGTCAGCTTAATGTGGGAGGAAAGCCCGAAGTGATGCAGTTCTCAGACGTTTACCACTTCGATGAAACCCACGAGCACGGCTATGGTTCTGACAAACCTAGAAACATAACTGGGGCAAACCTGGATTCGAACCCACAATCATAGGTTTCTGGCGTGCCCATGGGACGCAACTCAGCACAGAGAATCGCGGCGCCTTAGACGACTGGGCCACCCGTGCCCCCTATGCCGCTTTGAACAGTATTCAGATTCACGTGGAAGAACGACTCAAAACGAGTGAAAACCGCTTGGTTCTGATGCAGGCACGGTACTGAATCTCTCATTCGTACTAAAAACAAACAGTCCTAATAATTACAGCGCATCACTGTACACGTGTGACACCTCAGACCACCCGTCTCAACTAAACCGTAGCATTTTGTGCTGTCATACCAATGGCCTCAATCAGGGTAAATCTGTCATCGAAGTCTAGACAAGCGAATAATGGATAAGACAGACAGGCACGATGCTCAGTTACAGTACTCCCGGCGACATGTGCTCCCCAACAGGATTTGTAGACTCTATTTTCCTTTTGTTACCAGACAGATACCATTGCACAATGGTGCATTATAATATTCAGATAAATTTTGTGATTATTATTCAACATAACAAAACACACGTCAAAATCATTTGGAAATCTGAGTATACACTTTCTTTGTAAAATAATTCTGCCCCAAATGTATACACCAGACAGGTAGGGAAGACGGAGAGCCACCAAATGACTATAACTTAATGACACAAATTCACAGTGCATACGAATCAGAGCACATACCTACAAGAGTTGCTTCCCTTTAATAAAAATAAATGTCTGATACGATCACAGATTCTTAGTTTGCAACTGACTCGAAGCTGACATTCCTATACTACGAGGCGTCAATTACAAAGAAACTCTGTCTGGCTGAACTGACGCTCTAGCAAATAGATATTCACTCGGAATAGGCAGTGAGTTAACGAATGGTAAAGGTTGATCGACTTATTGGGTAATAGAGAAACTGTTTATAATCAGTAAGTGTGCTTTTGCGTCGCTTTTAGTAATATTCCAGCAATATCATGGCGGGGGACACCAGAAATTGGCTTCACACATTGTACCTACGTCGGGAATCGAACCCGAGTGTTAACTACTAGGCTACCCAACCGCCACGTATGAATAAAGTGTTTGGACGAGTAATCACATGAGTTTATCCATCACAGCTTATCTATATGACCCCTAATATACTTTCATATATTATTTCATCACGTACAAGTGTAAAACACCCCTTTTAGTTTTCAAATGTGCATTAATTATTCAGGAACAGGCTACGACATTACGACATTACGACATACATGTAATAAAACACTCAGGACTTCATTATTATGTCTAAGACAAGAGTGATTGAGTGAGTATGGTTTGACGCCGCTATTTTTGCAATATTCCAGCAATATAACGGCGGGGGACACCAGAAATGGGAGCACACATTGTTCCCATGTGGGGTTGTGGCAGTCTAAGGATGAGAACAGTCTTTGGTGAGAGTCAGAACAGTGTGCGTCAAGGTGAAGGTCACACAGAAGATGGCGACCCCTTGCAGAGTAGTTCCTTCTCCTTCTCGGCTTTCTGGGCCTGTTTCTTCAATTTCCGTCTCAAATAGAATTTCTTGAAAAGGAAAAATGCCACAGAGAAGACGAGTCCAAAAAGTGCAAGGATGAACACCCCTGCGGTGTGGGTGAGTCCAAACTGGGCACGATTGGCGCGGTCGCTGGCAACGTTACACTGACGCTTGTCATCCCACCACCTGGAATACACGGAGAATATATACGTACATACACGGCATAGCTAGCACAAAAACCCACATGCGCCTGAATCGCAAACAAATTGAAACTTTTCCAACACTCTTAGACAAAAGTCAGTTTCCCTAAATGTCCTCAATATTTCAGATTTCAGAAATCCTAAGTTTATTTTTCCTAAACGAACACCGTTTCAGTTGTTCGATTCTATGAACGTGTTGCAGCTCTCACTTGACGTACATTCCACTACTTGGGGCTGTCAAGACTCATCATACTGCTACCCATCCGTTGGTCATATTATCACAGGTGACTTAAACTATTGTTTACAATGATAAGTTATTCAAATATTATCCAAAATAACGTGTTTTAAGCAGGCTGTTACCAGTTGGGATCACAACTTTATAATCATTATTGATGCTGTCGAAACGTCTACCAACATATGGGCCAATAGAGAAGATGAACCTGTCGAATGTCTTTCACAATGAAATCAGTGCATCAATCATCAAAGAATGCGACATAGAAGGTCTGTACGTTAACCGTGGAAGAAATCTGCTAAATCCACGCATCAGTACTATCAACGTTTGGCCTAATATGCCCACTGTTTTGTACTTGATTCCAAAGCTCCATAAAAATCTTCACAAAGAAAGATATATTGGTGGGTCCAGCACATGTACCACCCAATTCCTGTTTCAAAGATTAACCAGAATCCTTAATGCAGTCAAGGAATGATTTTCTTTACATTCATAGCAAGTACAATGTACTTTAGGAAAAGATTCATGCCTTGATCCATGGTGCATTTGTCACTACTCCAGCTGATATAGTTGCATCCCTGTCTTCGACAGTTTAGGACAATTGGTTAAAACAGGAAGCAAATGTCATCGATCTGAAGTTCATTGACAAAACAATATGTGAAATGCTGGACTACCTCATTGAAATTTTGGAACATTTGTCGTCTCCCGCTTGCTGATCCCTTTCCTAATGCTTATGAATCGGAATTTCTTCTCAAAGATTTCCTTTTATGTATTTGGGAACTAATTTTTGATCATTTGTTTTATACGAGTGTGCAACTACATTGTATAAGGCACAGTTGACTTGATAATGATATCTTTCAATTCAGGCATCACATAAATTGCTTTGAATTTACAGATGGACGCAATACTCATTCACCGTCAACAAATGATTGAATGAGTCTAACTCTGTTTTAGAACATTACTTAATCAAGGTGTGTCGGCCTAACGTAGGAAGATGAAGTTTTAGAAACCAAAGATCAGGCCGAATCTCAGGCTCGAAGTCTTGATCATCGGACCCATGAATTTCAAACGAACAGAACTCGGTACACCTTAGACGACACCATAGACGACCTGGCTTACTGTATTAAAATAAGAAGGTGACAATTCCAAAAGTTGAAAAAATACTAAAATAAAGTCTTACTTCTTTTTCAGCTGGTTGATCTGTCCACTTTCCTTTAATTTGAGAAGGGCGATGTTCAGCTTGGTTTTGAAGGGAGCTCCTTGCGCCATGCCAATACCGTGTTCCTGCATCAGGATGGGAACGGCCACAGCCTTCGTACAACATTTTTTATACTCAGAATACTCGTTTATCAGGAAATCGAAAATAAACGCACACTCTTTGTTCATTACTCTGTCGCGACCAGATGACGCGTTAGGAACCAGACCATCAACAGCTACAATCGTGTCCCAGATCCGCTTGTAGACAGGGCTATGTCCCTTCTCGAAGAACTTCATGGTTGCCGATTTGTCCACGGTACATATTGCTTGCTCACTCTCGGATAGGTCGTCGAAAGAGTTGATGGTTTTTTCCAGGCTTTTGGTGGTGAGGAAGGCGGCCATGTTGGCGGTGTAGCTGGAGACGGTGATGAGGACGAAGAAGGTGAAGCCGGCAGACAGGATACGCTGAGACACTGGCTTCGGAGAGAAGTCTGTTCCTCGCTTGAGAAGCGTCCCGACAGCGTACCACAACGTCTCCTTGGGAGTGAACTTCCGGTTTGGGTTCGTGTAGTCAAGAAGGAACAGGACAAATGAGACAAAGATGGACGCCCCGATAATGGCCAACCAGAGGTAGAGAGAAAACGGGAAGAGGAATTGGAAGATGTTGTATTCTTCCTGGGGTTTGTAGATGAGGATGTTGATGCCGGTGCTGATGATGCCTTGGGAGAAGTCGATGTCGGTCTCTCGTTGGGAGGTGATGGATATGGCACCCATAGCCAAGGTAGCATTCTGAAAAATTTGATTTTGTTCACACAAAAATATTACTACCATTGACACGTTAAAAATATTAATTTTAGTGATGCTATGATATGAACTATATTTATTTTCGTAATGCTATGATATCAACTATATTTATTTTCAGACTGCTCAATCACCTAACTGTGTTCTACTAACGTGGCAAGGCAAGCTCAAAATATGTACGGTCTTCTTGTGTTTTAGGAAGAAAGAAAGTCACTCCTTATGTTTTCTCTCACTCTCAATCTGGTATTCATCTCTTGTATGGTTCGCGTTTCTTTTGGCAGTGAGTATATATTCACCGTTTCGTAATAGTATTTCATCTTAACAAATGTCTCCCCTTATTAATGATCTCACCAACTCCCCTTATTAATGATCTCACCAAGGCTTCGTAACAACCAATTATCTTAACAAATGTCTCCCCTTATAAATGATCTCACCAACTCCCCTTATTAATGATCTCATAAATGCTTCGTAACAACCAATTATCTTAACAAATGCCTCACCTTATTAAATGATCTCACCAATGCTTCGTAATTACCAATTATCTTAACAAATGTCCCCCCTTATTAATGATCTCACCAATGCTTCGTAATTACCAATTATCTTAACAAATGTCCCCCCTTATTAATGATCTCACAAATGCTTCGTAATATCCAATCATCTTAACAAATGTCTCCCTTTATTAGTGATCTCACAATGGCTTCGTCTCAACCAATTATCTTGATAAATGTCTCACCTTGGACATGATCTCACCAACCATTCCGTCCCAGGTCCCATCGTCCATGTTTTTCACGCCGTATGCGTTTTTAGGGCTGACGTAGATTCTATATTTGAACTTTAGTTCTTCCTTTAACTTCCTCAGGAGGTCGACGGTGAAACCCTCGTATCTGTCGTTCCCCTCGTTGTTCATGGAAGAGTTGGGCAACTTCTTCATTACAAAGGGCTCCTCCTGCATAAACAAAACATTTTGATGAAACTCAGACCACACTTGGTTGACATTCCAATTTCCCAAACGAGATGATGTAATATTGGTTTTAACGTCTAGTTAACAAATATTGCACTTATTTAGCCACTCGCATCACGGGTGAGTGTGTCTGCTTGTACTAGTCCGGACTAACGCCGGTTTTATAGCACAGTAAACTACGTTTATAACGAACACGCTTATAACGAACTGACCGAAATAACGAACTTATTTTTTAGTCCCGGCCATGTGTTGTATATATGCTGTATATATGCGTATAACGAACTACGGTTATAACGAACTAAAATTGGTGGTCCCTTTGAGTTTGTTATAACCGTAGTTCACTGTATCAGCCCACTGAGCTAACATGCCGCAGTTTAACAAGGACAACCCACTAGGGCACGGTGTACTGATTGCAGGCCGCCCAGCCCTTGATGTTTTGTCATCTGAATGCCGAGTGCCAGTAGGTTGGCAAGTACCGTCTTTGAAAGGTCATTTGGCATGATACGACCTTGGGATCGAAACCAGTGACCTTACTCTCTCCGGGCAGACGTTCAGTTTTTGGGGGTTTCCCAATTAAAGTCGAATAAGAATATTATACTCTATAAACATTTCTAAAACATGCAAATGGTTTTTAATCTGATAAAATAAGAGTTTTATGTATTGTGATTGTATTCAACATTTGACAACCGCCCTTAGTATGTCAAGTGCAAGGAAAAAAGGGCGAAGAAGATGCTTTTTTTGTTTTATAGTAAATTTTGTGAAAAATGGTTTTTTTTATATCGAAAATGTATCACTGAAAACATTTTTATTTTGAAAAGTTTGATAATTTTGCCACCATTGAATCAAGATTGAAACCGATTTTTCTTACTTATAGTGTACCTGATATTATTAGATCGTTTTTGTCAAGACAACCAGTAAGGACAGCGCAAGTAGCCTCTTGCCTCTATTCTTGTAGTGAAATGGTTCCTTTGTACTATTTTCTCTTGGGGAATTATTCCCATGGAACAGGTTTTACAAGGAATGTTTTCCACGGTACATTTACACATGTGTTCCGGGTGGACCTCATTCCATGTGGAACTGATCAGATCATCGTTGACGCATCATTCCATCGCCTTTTAGCTTCAGTGCCAATAGGTCACTTACCTCCACCACCACTACATTGACGGTGTCGGGAAAAATCCCTGATTGATCAGAATCCTCGTCGTCATCATCGTCCACCTGCGTCATGTTGAGCCTGTCGTTGGCGCTGCTGCCTGACGGAATCCATTCTCCAACCTGAGTTCCGTGTTGAAACATGGCAATTATATGCTGCATTCGTCATCCTCGAACGATATTCAATTAAGGTGAGCAAAAGTGAGAGTTACGTCCCTTTCAAATGATGACGTTACTACTAAGTGAATCTAGTTTTACGCTACAGTCAGGAATATTCCAAACATACACCGTGGACCCGGCAAATCACTGAATCTGAACCGAGGCGGACCAAGCCTTGACTTAAGTAATGATCACCACCATTGGGGTACGATGACACACAATCAGCCAGGTCACATATTGTAACCACCAGATCCTCATTCATCGGCTGTCTCAAGACGCCTGGGGATCTGGGAGCATGTTCTATTCTGACTCCAGGGACTCCAGGGACTACAGGGACAATCATACATCTAATGTAAATGTGCGACCCTCAAATGCTACAGAAACGAACGAACGAACGAACGAACGAACGAACGAACGAACGAACGAACCAACGAACGAACCAACGAACGAATGTTCACATGCCCACCTTCCGGTACATGTCCTCTCCTCCATGGTTGTAGAGGTACAGTGTGTAGTTTACCCTCTGACCTGTTCCGTTGAAACGAATGAGGCCCGTATCCCCGTGAAGTCGCACCTGTAAATTATGCAATGATGATAACTCAAAAAGATCAAACACTTAATACATGGGCATTATGGTGGTCAAAGTATATTCTGGTAGATATATGTGAGATGAGGTGAAATGCGTCGCGTCCAAGATAATTGCACTTATATAGCGACGTGCATGCACGTGTGTGTGTGGCAGCTTGTACTTGTCCGGACTGATGCCGATTTTATGATGCTAGCCCAAAGATATAAAATGCCACAGTTTAATAAGAATACCCCACTCAGACACAGTATACTGACTCCGAGCCGACCAGTCCTTGTTTTAGACCCTTAACGCCGAGCGCCAGACAGGGTTACAAAAGGTACCATCTTTTAACGTCTTTTGGTAAGACGCGGCCGGGGATCGAACCCCGGACCTTCCGCTCTCCGGGCGGATGCTCTACCGCTACACCACGGAGGCGGTAGCAGATATATGTGCATCTAATACTCACAAGTATGCGTTTAAGCCGTATCTTATGTTCCCATGGCAACGAATCGACATTAAAATATACTTTTAGTTGCTCTTTTTCGTGTATAATAGTTTGTTGTTATTTGAATGACTGGACGGATGAAAATAAAATCAGTAAAACCATTTCCATATTCATAACAGTCAATTGTATTCCGACTATATCATGAACATGTGTCAATGAATCACTATCAAATAGTGATGATACCAGGTGTTCGTGAAAAGGTGAGCATATCCTACCCAACCGTAGGCACCCGTCACAAACACATGCGAAGGCAAGTCAATTAATCATATGTGTACGACATAGGGAATTGCATCGGACATCATTTTTTTCACTGTTGCCTCAAATTTGGATATGAGTTTGTGCCCGAAAACTTCTTGCTAAACCAGTGATGTCATAATTGTTGTATCCAAACTAGACAGATGAGACGAACGAAAAAGTAGCTCACCCCCTTTAACGCCTTCAGCAATATCTTCCTTTTGATAACATTGGTAGGTTCCGTGATCTTATACAGGTACGCAGCTAAGGCATCCTTTGTGACGCTTGCGGCATCCTTGGCGATGGCGACGTTTGCGTCACCCGACTCGCCCTCTTGAGGGGGGTGGAAGTAACGGAACGCATACAACTTGCAACGCGCAGAGAACAGGCGAAGGCGATACATCTGGTCTGCTCCGGCTAACGGTTCCAGGTTTGAACTCTGTGGTAAAATCCGGGCACAAATTATCACATGCATGAAGAAAAACATTTGATGCGTTCTTCACAAACGAAAATAAAGATTTGAAACTCTGTATTGCATGTTTCAGATGACAATTGTCCGTTTGTATCGAAACGTCAATAAATAATCACCACATCACTAGATATCCTATCAAGGCATGCGATCAGTGTAAGATTGAATCTAAAATTAAGATAACCTTATAGAATCAATATTTTACAGTGGGGTTATTTTTGCAAACGAGAAAGGTTTAGGCTTTCTTGAGTTCTCTATTGAGATAAATATTGGAGAACTTCATCTCACACCCAACATTAATGTGGGAAATTGAAACAAAAATAACTGTTTTATTTAAAATGTCATCTCTATTGATAATTAAACATTTGGTAGAGAGACATCAATGAATTGAAGGGAACGCCCATGAGTGTTAAACGCTGCTTTGAGGAGTATGTCACGATGTGTGAGCGTGACGTATGCGATGAAGATCCAATGCGACCGTGATGAAGAAACCCACGGATCATCATCAGACACGATGTGTGAGCGTGACATATGCGATGAAGATCCAATGCGACCGTGATGAAGAAACCCACGGATCATCGTGAGACACGATGTGTGAGCGTGACATATGCGATGAAGATCCAATGCGACCATGATGAAGAAACCCACGGATCATCATCAGACATACGATGGCAAGTACAGCGAATTATGGTACCTTACACCACTGTGCCACCCTGTACCGATGCAGCATGAACAAACACATTCTGTCATAGGGCGACACACAATTGAAACTGAAAGTGTCAGGATATGAAAGAAGACTTGGTTTAACATGACACAAATATATTTATTGAATCTAAAATACTTTTGAACAGTTCTGTTTGTAAAGTATATTACCCTATCCACTAAATGGCAGAGTTCTTTTAGATTTGAGTTTCTTCTCCTTCCTTCGGGTATATCCCACACAACGATCTTAGGGAATAAAACATAGATCTAAGAAAGTCCTTAAACGAGACCCGAGACAGGCAGTAACAGGACCACGTCAGTCCTCAACGATAGACCTGCTAGCCCTTGGGACTTGTTCAGTGAAGCGACCTGTCAAGTTCTGCTCTATTACATCGCAGCTACAAAGATGGAGATGAGTTTATATATTTTAAAAGTACTTACCGAATCAACGAATATGAAATTCAGATCAACATCCATCAGGAGGTTGTAAAGCTTGGCCTGAAATAACCATTTTGTGATGAGGTTCTTTGTCTCTTACCTTACATGTTCCCTATCACTTCATTGTAAATGTAAAGTGCGTAGAAATCTATAAAACAAGCGTGGGTATTTCTTGTAAAAGATTATCATCCCGGAATCCATCAAAACAATTTGCAGAAAAAGCTGTATGATGTAGGGTGTACGATGAAGTGTGTATGATGAAGTGTGTATGATGTAGGGTGTATGATGAAGTGTGTATAATGTAGTGTGTATGATGTAGGGTGTATGATGTAGTGTGTATGATGAAGTGTGTATGATGTAGGGTGTATGATGAAGTGTGTATGATGTAGTGTGTATGATGTAGTGTGTATGATGTAGGGTGTATGATGTAGTGTGTATGATGAAGTGTGTATGATGAAGTGTGTATGATGTAGTGTGTATGATGTAGTGTGTATGATGTAGTGTGTATGATGTAGTGTGTATGATGAAGTGTGTATGATGTAGTGTGTATGATGTAGGGTGTATGATGTAGGGTGTATGATGAAGTGTGTATAATGTAGTGTGTATGATGTAGTGTGTATGATGTAGGGTGTATGATGTAGTGTGTATGATGAAGTGTGTATGATGTAGGGTGTATGATGAAGTGTGTATAATGTAGTGTGTATGATGTAGTGTGTATGATGTAGGGTGTATGATGAAGTGTGTATGATGTAGGGTGTATGATGTAGTGTGTATGATGTAGTGTGTATAATGTAGTGTGTATGATGTAGTGTGTGTGATGTAGGGTGTATGATGTAGTGTGTTTGATGTAGTGTGTATGATGTAGGGTGTATGATGTAGTGTGTATGATGTAGTGTGTATGATGTAGTGTGTAGGGTGTAGTGTGTATGATGTAGTGTGTATGATGTAGTGTGTATGATGTAGTGTGTAGGGTGTAGTATGTATGATGTAGGGTGTATGATGTAGGGTGTATGATGTATGGCGTACGATGTAGTGTGTAGTTTGTATGATGTAGTGTGTAGAATGTATGGTGTATGATGGTGTGTATGATGTATGGTGTATAATGTAGTGTGTATGATGTAGTGTGTATGGTGTAGTGTGTATGATGTAGTGTGTATGATGTAGGGTGTATGGTGTAGTGTGTATGATGTAGGGTGTATGATGTAGTGTGTATGATGTAGTGTGTAGGGTGTAGTGTGTATGATGTAGTGTGTATGATGTAGTGCGTATGGTGTAGTGTGTAGGGTGTAGTATGTATGATGTAGGGTGTATGATGTAGTGTGTATGATGTAGTGTGCATGATGTAGTGTGTATGATGTAGTGTGTAGGGTGTAGTATGTATGATGTAGGGTGTATGATGTAGGGTGTATGATGTAGGGTATATGATGTAGGGTGTATGATGTAGTGTGTATGATGTAGTGTGTATGATGTAGGGTGTATGATGTAGTGTGTATGATGTAGTGTGTAGGGTGTAGTATGTATGATGTAGGGTGTATGGTGTAGTGTGTATGATGTAGCGTGTATGATGTAGTGTGTAGGGTGTATGATGTAGGGTGTATGATGTAGGATGTATGATGTAGGGTATATGATGTAGTGTGTATGATGTAGGGTGTATGATGTAGTGTGTATGATGTAGGGTGTATGATGTAGGGTGTATGATGTAGTGTGTATGATGTAGTGTGTATGATGTAGGGTGTATGATGTAGGATGTAGGGTGTATGATGTAGGGTGTATGATGTAGTGTGTATGATGTAGGGTGTATGATGTAGGATGTAGGGTGTATGATGTAGTGTGTATGATGTAGGATGTATGATGTAGGGTGTATGATGTAGTGTGTATGATGTAGGGTGTATGATGTAGTGTGTATGATGTAGGGTGTATGGTGTAGGGTGTATGATGTAGTGTGTATGATGTAGTGTGTATGATGTAGGGTGTATGATGTAGGATGTAGGGTGTATGATGTAGGGTGTATGATGTAGTGTGTATGATGTAGGGTGTATGATGTAGGATGTAGGGTGTATGATGTAGTGTGTATGATGTAGGGTGTATGATGTAGGGTGTATGATGTAGGGTGTATGATGTAGGGTGTATGATGTAGTGTGTATGGTGTAGTATGTATGATGTAGGGTGTATGATGTAGGGTGTATGATGTAGGGTGTATGATGTAGTGTGTATGATGAAGTGTGTATGATGTAGTGTGTATGATGTAGGGTGTATGATGTAGGGTGTATGATGTAGTGTGTATGATGTAGGGTGTATGATGTAGGGTGTATGGTGTAGGGTGTATGATGTAGTGTGTATGATGTAGTGTGTATGATGTAGGGTGTATGATGTAGCGTGTATGATGTAGGATGTAGGGTGTATGATGTAGGGTGTATGATGTAGGGTGTATGATGTAGTGTGTATGATGTAGGGTGTATGATGTAGGATGTAGTGTGTATGATGTAGTGTGTATGATGTAGTGTGTATGATGTAGGGTGTAGGGTGTAGTATGTATGATGTAGGGTGTATGGTGTAGTGTGTATGATGTAGTGTGTAGGGTGTAGTATGTATGATGTAGTGTGTATGATGTAGAGTGTATGCTGTGGGGTGTATGATGTAGGGTGTATGATGTAGTGTGTATGATGTAGGGTGTATGATGTAGTGTGTATGATGTAGTGTGTATGATGTAGTGTGTATGATGTAGTATGTATGATGTAGGGTGTATGATGTAGGGTGTATGATGTAGTGTGTATGATGTAGGGTGTATGATGTAGTGTGTATGATGTAGTTTGTATGATGTAGTATGTGTGGTGTATGATGTAGGGTGTACGATGTAGTGTGTAGAGTGTAGTATGTATGATGTAGTATGTAGTGTGTATGATGTAGTATGTAGTGTGTATGATGTAGGGTGTACGATGTAGTGTGTAGAGTGTAGGGTGTATGATGTGGTGTGTAGAGAGTAGGGTGTAGTGTGCACGATGTTGGGTGTAGAGTGTAGAGTGTAGGGTGTATGATGCAGTGTGCAGCGTGTAATGCGTAGCGTGTAGTGTGCTCTTTGGGTTTTGTGCGCAATGTGTATGGTGTATGGTGTATGGTGGGGTATGTAGGCAACGGATGGGGGTGAATATGGATAACACTGATTTTATTGGGACAATTAACTTTTACTGATACTTGAAATTATTAATCACTCAGACACTTTAAATCTACAAAGACACTTTAAATCTACAAAGAAAACTATGAACTTCTTATAACATGATCTCACATACGTTTGTATTTTTGTACTACATAGTTGACAAGTAACATAATGTTACCCACGGGTCAGAAAACTGGAAATCTGCAATACTGTATGTAATTTAGATACAACGCTCTCCCCGGGAGGAGAACCAACGTTTCGTCTACTGCTCACCACTTTAAGGAGTTGCTGTATGAGTCTGTCTTTGGCGTCTCTGGGGCTGCACATGACGACCTGCTTCTGGTTGAGGAGCTGGAAGTTCCTCATGGCTTGTTTTATCATCTTCCTTGCTTCCTCGGGGTCGATAGAGTAGGGGATGACGGAGATGCCACGCCCAACCATCTGCTGCGCCAGGTCCTGACACTCTGAGTGAGTGAGTCAGTGATTGAGTCAGTGTGTGAGTCAGTGAGTGAGTCAGTGGGTGAGTCAGTGAGAAAGTCAGTGTGGGAGTCAGTGGGTGAGTCAGTGAGTGAGTCAGTGTGGGAGTCAGTGACTGATCAGTGTGTGAGTCAGTGAGTGAGTCAGTGGGTGAGTCAGTGAGTGAGTCAGTGTGGGAGTCAGTGGGTGAGTCAGTGAGTGAGTCAGTGAGTGAATAAGTGACTGATCAGTGTGTGAGTCAGTGAGTGAGTAAGTGACTGATCAGTGTGTGAGTCAGTGAGTGAGTCAGTGGGTGAGTCAGTGAGTGAGTCAGTGTGGGAGTCAGTGGTAGAATCAGTGAGTAGGTCAGTGAGTGAGTCAGTGAGTGAGTAAGTGACTGATCAGTGTGTGAGTCAGTGAGTGAGTCAGTGGGTGAGTCAGTGAGGGAGTCAGTGTGGGAGTCAGTGGTAGAATCAGTGAGTGATCAGTGAGTGAGTCAGTGAGTGAGTAAGTGACTGATCAGTCTGTAAGTCAGTGAGTGAGTCAGTGGGTGAGTCAGTGAGTGAGTCAGTGTGGGAGTCAGTGGTAGAATCAGTGAGTAGGTCAGTGAGTGAGTCAGTGGGTGAGTCAGTGAGTGAGTCAGTGGGTGAGTCAGTGATCAGTCAGTGAGTGAATCAGTGAGTGAGTCAGTGAGTGTGTGAGTGAGTCAATCAGTGATTGAGTCGGTGAGTGAGTCAGTGTTTGAGTCAGTGAGTGAGTCAGTGGGTGAGTCAGTGAGTGAGTCAGTGAGTAAGTGACTGAGTCAGTGGGTGAGTCAGTGAGTGAGTCAGTGGGTGAGTCAGTGCGTGAGTCAGTGAGTCAGTGATAACAAGAAAAGTATTGATAGGCCATGAACAGCATTTATTTGCGTTCTTTGAATCCCGTTCAGCTAGCAGCTGTGTTTTTTAACCAATCTGATTGAGGCACACATTTGTTTCACAAAAAGAAATATATTTGGCCTCGATTAGCTTTACAATTTCTGATGCGGCGTGGGGGGCACGGGTGGCCCATTCATCTTAGGCGCCGCGATTCGCTGTGCAGAGTTGCGTCCCTTGGGCACGCCAGAAACCTATGATTGTGGGTTCGAATCCCGGTTCGCCCCGATTATGTTTTTAGGTTTGTCAGCACCATACCCGTGCATGTGGGTTTCACCGAAGTGGTAAACGTCTAAGACCTGCATTACTTCGGGCTTTCCTCCCACATTTAGCTGACACGCCGTGATATGACTGGAATACTGTTAAAAGCGGCGTTAAACCCAACTCACTCATTCACTCACGCTGATGCGGCGTTAAAGGGGAAGTGTACACGCAAAAATCACTTTCTTTCTTTTTCTAAACAAAACGCAATTTTAGAATTAATTAGTATCTGTGTTTGAAAATATACACTCATTTTTTCACAGTGAAAGTAGGAAGCTCACAATAGTGTGAAAATGATATGCCGTTATGAGGCCTTCGTTTTTCGAGCTAAACATGCCTGAGTTATCCCCCTTAGATTATGACGTAATTGGTGCCAATTCAACTTGGTCCCTGTCTATTTTCAACGCAAAAGATATCAAGTACCAGTTTGCTGTAAAACAACATGGCCTACGACACAATCCGGCGCAGTCGTGACTCAGCATAACACTATGCTGGCTGGCATCTGAGACGCTAGAATCACACACCTGGACCTACACCACGTGAAGCGGCTCTAACAAAGCATGATGACGTCATAATGTTTATCAATTGGCACCAATGACGTCGTATTGCAAGGGGCATAAGCCATGGTGTTTTTGTTGTGGAAATAGAACACTTGGTAAATGTGAAAAATATAAATCGTTTTAATGCGAAAAATATGTTAATTAATTGTGATATTTTTATATTTTTGTCTTTGACACCTCTAGGTTAACACTTTTAATGTGGAAAAAGTACAAGAAAAATAGGTTCATTTCCGTGTGAACTTGCCCTTTAAGCAATATGTGTTCATTCATTACTAACAGCAAGACCCGTAACTATCCGGGGTAGAATAGGTCTACAGCAACACATTCTTGCCGTAAAAGGCGACTATGTTTGTTGTAAGAGGCGACTAACGGGATCGGGTGGTCAGGCTCCCTGACTTGGTTGATGCATGTCATCGTATTCCAATTGCGTGGATCGATGCTCATGATGTCAATGACTGGATTGTCTCGCCCAGACTCAATTATTTAAAGACCGTCGTCAAAAAGCTGATATATTGCTGAGTGTGGCGTTAAACAACACAGACACAAACTAACAGTAATGTCCAAAATGAAAAAAAAATGTTTGACGAACCTTGGTTATCAGCCTCATTCTTCGGCATCAACATCACCGCACTTTCCCACTTCTCCTTCTGGAACAGGTCTACCACAGCCATGTTCTGCTCCTGGGCCGGAGGGCGGATCTCCACCAGCGTGCGCCAGTTGGTGCGGTCCTGCACGCGCGACATATCGATGTCCTTGAAGCCCTTGTAGTCGGTCACCAGGTACGGGATGTGGTTCTTCTCGAGCATCATGGCCAAGTTGGTATAAAATGGACCGATGATGAGGTTGAAGGTTTTCGACTCTCCTGCTTGCTTTGATAAAGCTAAAATATTGTGATGGAGATGAAGTATTAGTAAAGAGTTAACAGACGGACCAAGAAGATTTAAATGTTTAGTTTTGTTACAACACGCGGTGGCCATAGAAACAGCTACATATCTACCTTCAGAGGTTTGGGACAATTTGTCAAAATTGAAAGCAAATGTCATCTGAAGTTATTGAAAAAGAATATGTGAAATACTGGACTTCCTCATTGATAATGCTTTATGGTTATGAATCGGAATTTCTGCTTGGACTGGCAAGAAAAAACAAGGTTATATTGCCGAGAAGTTCAACTTTGGCTTAAGGTATATCGATGATCTTATGCGTGCATGCATACATGCGCGCGCACGCACACATACGCACGCACGCGCACGTGGATTTAGTTTCATGACGCTATGTCATGAACAGTATCCCCGTTATATCACAACACACAATGACAATAATACTGAGAGCATATAAAGTCAAGATCTCTCTGACAAACAGACGGCTAAAGTTCTATGTCACTTCTATCAATAACTAAAAATCTAGTGCCTGTCTATATTACTGTAGAGATGAATCTCACACATCAATTATAATCATATCAGATTATTTAATACGTAAAAACTGATATAATACATCAAACATTACATGCATGGTTGCGGGGCATGGGTAGCCAAGTCGTCTAAGGCGCCGCGATTCGCTGTGCAGAGTTCCGTCCCTTGGGCACAACAGAAACCTATGATTGTGGGTTCGAATCCCGGTTCGCCCCGATTATGTTTCTAGGTTTGTCAGCACCATAACCGTGCTCGTGGGTTTTACCGAAGTGGTAAACGTCTAAGGCCTGCATCACCTCGGGCTTTCCTCCCACATTAAGCTGACACGCCGCGATATAACTGTACTACTGTTTAAAGTAGCGTTAAACCCAACTCACTCACAACTCACAAGCATGGTTGCACATGTCATAGATAATCACTAACCCCTAATTTCCAGTGTGTCTGTATGAACCATGTATTCCCTGTTTGAGCCTTCAGCTGTGACACGGTCCAGATGGCTCGGGCTTATTGTTCTTGTTAATAAAAGTATGATAAAATTGATAAGAGACCTAGTCCTGTATGACGACAGATTGGACTCAGCTCCTCTTGGTGCAACTGTCTTGTTTGAAACAACACATGCTGTGTCCACGGATATTAACCGAGGATGTGGAATTATTTCTTGTAACATATGTTTCCCGTATTTTTCACATGTTAGCCGTGAAGAAGATTTGTCCGTGAGAACCGACTAACGGGATCGGGTGGTCAGGGTGGCTAATTTGGTTGATTGCATGGTAACCCTTTTTATGAGGTGATAATTGATTTCATGGCTGCGGTTATGCGTTTATTATCATTTGATCTACGTTGGATAAGAGTGTCGTGGGTTGTGTGTCGTGTGTTGTGAACCTTTTAAAGATTACTTCGTCTATACGTTGAACCGTGAGGCTTTTATAGATTACTTCATCTTTACATTGAACCGTGATCCTTTTGTGGATTTCCAATGCCAGAGATTGATCCCAGCTTGTTAAGATTGTGTTTTATTTATATCATGTTACATAAACATAATCAGGGCGAACCGTGATTCGAACCCACGATCATAGGTTTCTGGCGTGCCCAAAGGGACGCAACTCTGTACAGCTTGGGAATACTTAAAGTGATAATATACGACAGGGATTCTGTTTTAGATATTATACGCATAAGAATATGCAGCAATACATGTTTTACCTATGGACCTACAGTTTTAAGGTGATAAAACAAGGAATGATCTGCTAGAAATCAATATACTGTTTAGTACAAGCAGACACGCACACACAGCGTGTCATGTTGATGTGAGAGGAAGTGAGAGGAAGCGGGAGGAAACGAGAGGAAGCGGAGGAAGTGAGAGGAAGTGGAAGGTAGTGGGAGAAAGTGGGAGTGAGTGAGAGGAAGTGAGAAGAAGTGAGGAAGCGAGAGAAAGTGAGGGGAACTGGGAGGAAGCGAGAGGAAGCGGGAGGAAATGGGAGGAAGCAGAAGGAAGCGAGAGGAAGTGGGAGTGAGTGAGAGGAAGTGGGAGGAAGCGGAAGGAATTGGGAGAAAATGAGTGGAAATGGAAGGAAGTGGGAGGAAGTGAGAGGAAGTGGGAGGAAGTGAGAGGAAGTGGGAGGAAGTGAGAGGAAGCTTGGTAAAGTGGAAGAAATTGAGAGGAAGCGACAGGAAGTGGGAGGAAACGGGAGGAAGCGAGAGGAAGTGGGAGGAAGCGGCAGAAAGTGGAAGGAAGTGAGAGGAAGCCGGATGAAGTGGAAGGAATTGAGAGGAAGCGGGATAAAGTGAAAGGAATTGTGAAGAAGTCGGATGAAGTGGAAGGAAGTTAGAGGAAGCGGGATAAAGTGAAAGGAATTGTGAAGAAGTCGGATGAAGTGGAAGGAATTGAGAGGAAGCGGGATAAAGTGAAAGGAATTGTGAAGAAGTCGGATGAAGTGGAAGGAAGTTAGAGGAAGCGGGATAAAGTGAAAGGAATTGTGAGGAAGTCGGATGAAGTGGAAGGAAGTTAGAGTACGTGGGAAGCGAGAGGAAGCGGGAGGAAGGGGAGGAAGTGGGATGAAGTGAGGGGAAGCGGGAGAAAGGGGAGAAAATGAGAGGAAGTGGAAGGAAGTGGGAGAAAGTGAGGGGAAGTGGAGGAAGCGGGATGAAGTAAGAGGAAGTGAGAGGAAGTGGGATGAAGTGAGGGGAAGCGGGAGAAAGGGGAGAAAATGAGAGGAAGTGGAAGGAAGTGGGAGAAAGTGAGGGGAAGCAGGAGAAAGTGAGGTGAGGTGGAGGGAAGTGAGAGGAAGTAGAAGGAAGTGGAGGAAGCGGGATGAAGTGAGGGGAAGCGGGAGAAAGGGGAGAAAATGAGAGGAAGTGGAAGGAAGTGGGAGAAAGTGAGGGGAAGCAGGGGAAAGTGAGGTGAGGTGGAGGGAAGTGAGAGGAAGTAGAAGGAAGTGAGAGGAAGTGGAGGAAGCGGGATGAAGTGAGGGGAAGCGGGAGAAAGGGGAGAAAATGAGAGGAAGTGGAAGGAAGTGGGAGAAAGTGAGGGGAAGCAGGAGAAAGTGAGGTGAGGTGGAGGGAAGTGAGAGGAAGTAGAAGGAAGTGAGAGGAAGTGGAGGAAGCGGGATGAAGTGAGAGGAAGTGGGATGAAGTGGAAGGAAGTTAGAGGAAGTGGGATGAAGTGGAAGGAAGTTAGAGTAAGTGGGAAGTGAGGGGAAGTGGGATAAAGTGAGAGGAAGTGGAGGAAGCGGGATGAAGTGAGAGGAAGTGGGATGAAGTGGAAGGAAGTTAGATGAAGTGGGATGAAGTGGAAGGAAGTTAGAGGAAGTGGGAAGTGAGGGTAAGTGGGATGAAGTGAGGGGAAATGAGAGGAAGCGGGGTGAATTGGGAGGAAGTGGGAGAAAGTGAGGGGAAGCGGGAGAAAGTGAGGGGAAGTGGAGGGAAGTGAGAGGAAGTGGAAGGAAGTGAGAGGAAGTGGAGGAAGCGGGATGAAGTGAGAGGAAGCGGGATGAAGTGGAAGAGAGTTAGAGGAAGTGCGATGAAGTGGAAGGAAGTTGGAGTACGTGGGAAGTGAGGGGATGTGGGATGAAGTGGGATGAGGTGGGATGAAGTGAGAGGAAATGGGATTAAGTGGAAGGAAGTTAGGGGAAGTGGAAGGAAACGGGGGGAAATCGGATGAATTGGAAGGAAGTGAGAGTAATTGAGAGGAATCGTGAGGAAGTGAGAGGAAGTGGGGGGAAGCGGGAGGAAGGGGAATAAGTGAAAGGACACGGGAGGAAAGGGAATAAGTGAGAGGAAACGGGAGGAAGGGGAATAAGTGAGAGGAAACGGGAGAAAGGGGAATAAGTGAGAGGAAACGGGAGAAAGGGGAATAAGTGAGAGGAAACGGGAGGAAGGGGAATAAGTGAAAGGACATGGGAGGAAAGGGAATAAGTGAGAGGAAACGGGAGGAAGGGGAATAAGTGAGAGGAAACGGGAGAAAGGGGAATAAGTGAGAGGAAACGGGAGAAAGGGGAATAAGTGAGAGGAAGTAAGAGGAAGTGGGAGGAAGGGCAATAAGTGAGAGGAAGTAAGAGGAAACGGGAGGAAGGGGAATAATTGAGAGGAAACGGGAGGAAGGGGAATAAGTGAGAGGAAACGGGAGGAAGGGGCATAAGTGAGAGGAAGTAAGAGGAAGTGGGAGGAAGGGGCATAAGTGAGAGGAAGCGGGAGAAAGGGGAATAAGTGAGAGGAAGCGGGAGGAGGTTGGAGGAAGTGATGTCCCATGATCACGGGTATGGTGCAAATGAACAGAGAAATTTCACAACGCATTTTGACACCGCAGACGTCCGGTACTCCAAGTGATGCTGGTAGTAATTGAAACGATATTGATAATGATGATAATAATAAAAATGCTACCTCTCCTCATCCCCTCCTCGATTTCCGTCCATCCGTCTGTGATAATACGTAGGTCACTTTGAACGTGTAGCACTACGAAATGAGGGTCGTGGAAGCATTGCTTGACGTCTCCGCTGAACTCCATGTTCTTCACTGTATACCCCGATGTTTCACCTTCCAGCACACCTGGAGCGGAGAGGGGGAACGTTGGGGGAAACAAACACGCGAGGGAGAGGGTGTGGTCATGTATGAGGGGGAATAGATTGACAAGACACATCTAGCGCGTACTCGTTAATCCAGATTATCGCCCCCGCTAAAATCCGAAGATAATGTTAAACACCCGGTTCTTTCATATTGGTATGAAAAACTCGGTTGTTCTTTAACTTGAGTAGTATAGATTGTAATAACGAATCACGGGTACAGAATAATATGGACATTTGAAATTATATAGTTCTCAACATATGATAGGGATATTCTGAGTCCATCTCCCAACAACCCTTCAGATGCGTTCCTAATATTTCTGAATGGTTGTTTGGCTATTTGATAGGAAGTGATCTTAGGTGGACGTGACGCATGTTTATGTTAAAGTAATAATAACTAAAGTAAACTTTCGTATATGTTGTTGTCTCCCATCTTTCGTAAGCGTGTGAGCCAGCACACCCAGTATCCTCATCATCAGTTGAGTGGTATATGTGAACATTTCCGACGGTTTTTGCAAAGTGGTTCGTTGGGTAATGGGATAACTCAAACAAAATAGAAGCTGAAAGGCAGTATGACAATAACAACATAGGTAACCACATCACGCCCATTAAACACCGTCACCCCCACTCCCCCAAAATGAAAAAAGAGAAGATAGAAATTACATTTTCAAAAACATACTTAAAAAAATATTTTTTTCGTCCCAGATACCCTTCCTACCTAAAACTTACAACCTGGGTAAACTGACGCGGTCGTAACCTAAGCAACCTTGGAATATTACCTACTAACACTTCAGAGATTCTCGGACCTCATCGCCCGCAACTAAACCCCGTGCATCCACATCCCGCCCAGCATCCCATAGCCATCTTCTCGTCATCAATACTAGGGTTAAACCCAAAGAGGCATATTTGAAATTAAGTTTGTCACAAACATATTTCGAAAAAAGATAAAAGCATACAAAGATAACCAAAATGGGAAATTGAGGAATTGGGACGAGAAATATTAAATGTATTGATAAGAAACACATTACCAAATTGATTAAAATAGTCAGTATATTATGATTTTTATGATAATCGTTAACACATTAACACTTTTGTGAAGATTAATGTCATGAAATTAAACACTTTATACTGGATTCTAAATATCCCCTAAACGGAATGAATGAATAATACTATCGAGAAATAACAAGTATATTGACCAGTAACACAGGGCCTTGTGGATTAACATTCAAATTAGTAACATTTTATTCCTACTAAGTTCCGTAGTATCTGTGATGTTTATTAATTTATATACAACATAAGCATTTATAACTTACCTATCGTAAGCGGGAGTTTTCTTTTGTTTTCGGTCTTTTTGCATCGTCCATCCGATGAGGAAACACACAACACACAAACGAGCAGAACCACCCTGATCAAATCCTCCAGAATCCGTTTAAATTCCATATTTTTTTCAGATCCAAGAAAACTGTATCATTCGGTGATGGAAACCAACGTGGCCCATATGAGACGTCTATTTGAACTCTAAGCGCTCTGCGTGATAGCTATGTGAACCGTTCCATTATGAATCCCGACCGCTCCCTCGGATGACGTCGTGTGTTGTTCGTTCCGAATGTAATATCTCTGTTCTGATCGCCAGCGAGTAACGCGGATCTGACGACGGGTTCGGGAGGAATAAGTATTTATTTCAGGTGAGTAGATCTCTAAACAGCGCTTCCATCTTGCATTGCAGTGTACCCAAGTTATGAAGTGGAGTTAAACAGACATTCCAATGTATGTTATATAGTTTATTTCAGTACCCACATGAAGTATTGATCGCTTGGGTCCATGACATGATTCACGTCCAAACTTTTTCAAACACAACGTATCCAACTCTTTGTCTTCGCCAAGTTCTTCGTATGTCAAATTTCGTTGGAAGTCAATGACTGAAATCTCATTCCCTGGTCCGGTGGCCTGTTCTGGTGGCACCCAGGAGGTCTTAATTTGCATTCAGATCCAACAGCCCTAGCAAAATTGCCTAAGTAAATATCACACACGTCATTAAGCAAATCAAGTTGAACTCTGCGCGCTATGGGATCGACGGCCAGGATTTCAATATGAAGCGTCTATTCCATCGCCTCATCCGCCGGAGCGTCTAAAGCATCCGATGTAACCTCCAATCGTCAGAACTGAGAGGGTAAAGGTTGCTCTCATCCCAGAGGTTCCAAGGGTGGAATCATAGATTGGTTAATGGCACCGCGAGTATTTCTAGGTTCTCGTTGCTGTATGTTACTATCTGTCAATTTATGTTTTCTCGTTTTGAATGCTCAAATATTAGCTGAACAGCTCTTGTAGATATTGTGATATTGAGGGTAATCTGAAAATGATTGAATTGATAACAATCAGCTTGGAATTGATATTTTATTCACATTGATAAATCGAACTGTGATCAGTTGGACTCTTATGTAACGGAAACAATTGATATGAACGACTGATCAGCCCCTAGGGAATTGATAAGAAAGGGGACAATGAGTTATTGTTTGTCAGTCTCACACGAAAGTACATGATACCTAACGTTCCAATGAATTCCTTTGAATCCGTTTCAGTCGCCTGATATATATTTTCTACGGTTATACAGCGTTCATACTTAGCTTCTGTTATATCAAACACCACAGTCATTGTTCGAGCTAAACCAAGGCGGCACCAGGATTTAATATAAGTATACCTATATGGGGATTCGAACCCGACCCTTTGGCATGATGGCCGAACGCTTTAACAAGCAACCCTGCTTCCTTGAGTTACATGAAGATGACGCACATTCGGTGTGTATGTCAACAAACCCTTCTGTCGTCACAGTCTTCCTTTGCCTAGTGATATAAAGCTAAATGAGGCGGTGGGGTAGCCTAGTGGTTAAAGCATTTGCTCGTCACGCCGAAGACCCGAGTTCGATTCCCGACATGGGTACAATGAGTGAAGCCCATTTCTGGCGTCCCCCGCCTTGATATTGCTGGAATATTGCTAAAGGCGGCGTAAAACCATTCTCACTCACTCACTATAATGCTAAATTGTAGTTATAAGAAACAAAATGCCGTGGCGTTACGCTGAATATTTAATGTCTGGATGTTTATCATTAAGCATAAGACTAGGGTTTAGTAAACTGCGTTCTTTCCGAACATAGAATTTCCGGGGTTAAGAGGTTCTAACTACAATAGACTACGGTTAAAACGAACACGCTTATAACGAACTGACGGATATAACAAACTTACTTTTTGGTCCCGACTATTTGCTGTAGTTATGCTGTATATATGCTTAAAACGAACTACGGTTATAACGAACTAAGATTAGTGGTCCCTTTGAGTTCGTTATAACCGTAGTTTACTGTATTGACTTTCAGTAATTATCTTCCCAAACTACAAACGGGATGAATTACACGTCAGAAATACAGTCAAACCTGATTGGCTGTTGATTAAAATTTATGTATAAAATTAAAAATTATGTATAAAATATTCCCAAGAAGAATCCCACAGACGCCGAATTTACCGAATTAGCAAGATCCACACTAATAAGGTTCCAGTGTAATGGTCTAATCGATACCTTATTTTGTATTGTATCATTTTTTCATCTGTATGGATGTTGCATACTTTGGTAACGACCAGATGAGAATCTGCTCCACAATGTTTTCGTCTAACTTCATGATCTACAGAAACCCATACTCTGTAATTGGATTTGAAACTTTTTATGGTATGCTGGAATTGTGAACATTCATTCCGAACAGTGCTGTACCGAATGTATAGACGTTGCTAACTAATTGCAAATGATCACAAATCAATTCAATGTACTAATACAAAAACTCTCCTCTGGGTTTTGTGTATGGTATGGAGAGGGTATCAAATATTTACCGTGTATTGAGACTCCCGTCAGTAGTTATCACTGGAACGTCGCTCTGCGGCAGATTGATGATGGAACCGACTATTAAGGTCCGGGATGTATACAGAATGAATATTTCGAGTATATCGATATACAGTTGACGGCCTTATACACCATATTCTCGCTTACATCTTTAGCTGGTAATATAGTGTTATTTTGTGGTATTTTTTATAGAAAACATACACTGTATACTGGAATAGTTTGATGTTTGGGGGATAATGTTGTTCTTATTACCAAAACAAACCTAAATAGATAATGAACTAAAAAGGTATGTATGACTGGCGCAGGTAGGACAAACTTTGAAACGTTATGGAACAAGTTTTATTCCCTTGCATGACTACATTTCAGGGCAAAACTGAAGTTCGAACCCATAATCACCGAATCCTGGTACAGCTAGGGGACGCAACTTTGTACAGAAAATAGCGTCGATTTACTCCAATATGACGCCCGTGTACCTTCAGTAATATGAAGTCTAGCGTTTATTCATTGTCCACAAAGTTTGTATGCGACGACTCAGCCTTACTTCTTGAAACGTTTCTTTATCCGATAGTGAGTTAGCGAGGTGTGCAGTATTCCAAGGACACAACAACAGGGTAAAATCAAGAATGGGTTTCTTTCATAAAAACATGGAATCCAAACCGGACATTTGGTGTGAGGAGACAGCACCTTATCAACTAGGCTACCCCACTGGCCTTATGGGTGAGGTGAAATGGGGTTTAACGTCGCGTCCAAGATTATTGCACTTATAGAGCGACGTGCATGCACGTGTGTGTGTGTTGATGGTTGTACTAGTCCGGACTGATGCCGATTCATGGTGCTAGTACCATGAGATACCATGCCGCAGTTTAACATGAATACCCCACTCAGACACAGTATTCTGACTCCGAGCCGACCAGTCCTTGTTTTAGCCCCTTAGTTCCGAGCGCCAGACAGGGTAACAACAAGTACGATCTTTTAACGTCTTTTGGTATGACGCGGCCGGGGATCGAACCCCGGACCTTCCGCTCTCCGGGCGGACGATCTACCACTAGACCACGGTGGCGGTCAACGGGCCTTATAATGTATACGGAGCAATGTGTAATGATCTATCATCTATCTTCCAAGAATGGTTTGAGCTTCTGTCCGGAGATCAGAAGGTCCGGGTTTGATCCCAGGCCGCGTCATACCTGAAGACGTTAAAAGATGGAACTTGTTCTTTACCTGCCCTGGGAAACAGAATTAAGGGGCTAAAACAAGGACTGGCCGGCACAGAGTCAGTATACTGAGTCTGAGTGGGGTATTCATGTTAAACTGCAGCATGGCATCTCAGTGGGCTAGCACTATAAAATCGGCATCAGTCCGAACTTGTACAGGCAGTTCCACGCGAGTGAATGCACGTCGCTATATATGTGCAATACTATTGAAATCGACGTTAAGCCCCATTACACTTCACTTTAACTTCAGGGCGGTCGGGTGGCCTAGTGGTTAAAGCATTCGCTTGTCAAGCCGAAGACCAGGGTTCGATTCCCGACATGGGTACAATGTGTGAAGCCCATTTCTGGTGTCCCCCGCCTTGATATTGCAGGAATATTGCTAAAAGCGGCGTAAAACCATACTCACTCACTAATGTTCGAAAACTTTAAATTGGCAACTGAGCCGCTGTGACGTTACGTCAGAACTTGGTCAGACGTCAACTGACATTCTCTCACTCGCCAGTGTTGACTTATATAATTGTTAACTTGCATGTGTATGTTGATCATTTAGGATTGGGACAACCTTTCAATAAATTGTATCTTTGTATAGTAAACAGTAGCAGGTTATGACAAAGCACGTTTTGTCAGAGTATTCACAGCAATATTTACCTTGGCTTAATAGACCGGCTGTTATCTGATTAATCTAGGCGTCGTGTACATCATTATTTTACTTGATATGTTGCAGTCAGCGAATATCTTCCGCTTCCCTTGACGTGAATATTACTCTTCGAGAGATAATAACACGTCCTCGAACTCTCGAAATGTCCTCAATTAACAGAGGGTTTTAACGAGAAAATCCAATTACCTTACAAATTTGATAAAAGTCGTATACAATAAAACATTCAGAACTGAATGTCGTCGTCGTCATCACAATCTTCGTCGACATATATATCATCATCATCATCAGTAGGACTATCTTTGCACTCTTATTTATCAGAAGGAATGATGGTAATTTATATCAATGTAGTCATCCTTTGGTGTAGATATGGTAATAGAACTGTGCGATTCACCACAGCCATGTGACAGACAGACCGCCACGTCAAGGGCCACACATTCGACAAACTGACCACCACGTCAAGAGCCACACATTCGACAAACTGAATACTACGTCAAGAGCCACACATTCGACAAACTGACCGCCACGTCAAGAGCCACACATTCGACAAACTGATCGCCACGTCAAGAGCCGTACATTCGACAAACTGACCACCACGTCAAGAGCCACACATTCGACAAACTGACCGCCACGCCAAGAGCCTCACATTCGACAAACTGACCGCCACGTCAAGGGCCACACATTCGACGAACTGACCGCCACGTCAAGAGCCACACATTCGACAACCTGACCGCCACGTCAAGAGCCACACATTCGACTAACTGAGCGCCATGTCAAGAGCCACACATTCGACAACCTGACCGCCACGTCAAGAGCCACACATTCGTCAAACTGACCGCCACGTCAAGAGCCACACATTCGACAAACTAACCGCCATGTCAAGAGCCACACATTCGACAAACTGACCGCCATGTCAAGAGCCACACATTCGACAAAC